AGGGGTTTTTCAGAAACGGAAGCCACCCAGCCCCGCCCGCCTCCGGAAGGTTCTTGGAGGAAGGAGGCCGTTCGGGAGAGGTGGACCAGGAAAAGGACCGGAGATCCTCGTGGGGCTCACACAGCTTTCAGCTGTTCGTGGGGCGGGTCAAGGCCAAGCCTCAGCGCACAGGGTCTGAGCACCTGTCCTTTTAAGTATCACATTGACGAAGACACGCACGCAGCTTGGCTGCAGGACCACACGGGGACCCTGCCCCTGAGCGTGAGCTCTGTCTGTCCGAGTCACTGCACCACCGCAGGCTGCCCCGCCCCTAACCTCCCTCGCCTTCAGAACCACTTAAGAGCGATTCCACGCAGCGATAGAACAATGGCAGCTCTTCTGCGGCTCTTACTATGACCGGGGCTGCTTGTCAGCACTGCACGGTATCCACTCACTCCACACAGCCACGCTGGCAGGTAGCAGCTCCACGTCACAGCTCAGAACATGGCGGCAGAGAGGCGCGGCAAGTAGAAGGGCAGGGCCCAAGTCCACGCAGGTGTGTGTGCGAAGCTCCTGGGCCGCCTGCCTGCCAGCGTTGGAGGGGAGAGAAGAGGGATGCTTACCTGGGCAGGGCGTGCCACGCCCTGGCGGGGCACTCGTCACGGGACACTCTCAGGGCTCCGGGGAGGTAGGACAACGTTATGATGATGCCGTTGCCATTGTTACAGGAGGAAACCAAGCCTTCGGGGGTCTTGGCTGGAGAATGGCGGAGCTGGATGTGAAGGCGAGTCTTGGAGTCGGGGGCCGCTCCGGGGCACTGGCCGCTCTGTGGGGACGTCTGCCGCGCTGCTCTGCCCTGGCCCTGCACCGCCCACCTGCTTCTGCCCCCAGAGGAGACGAGAGCTGGGTGTCTGCGCAGAGCGTGTGGCCAGCCCCTTCCTGAGGGGCCCCCACTGAGCGCTCCTTCTGCTCCAGGACCACGCTGTCCATCACGGCTCAGCGCCAGTGCCACCTTCTCCGCGCCTCCTTGGCCTGCAAACCCCACAGGGCTTCATCAGCCTCCTGCCCCCGGCGGCCGGGTTCCGCTTCCCTGCCCTGAGGTCATGCGGACCCACGCATCACCCACCTGCCCAGGTGGGAGCACCTGTGGGGCGGGACACAGACGAGGAGCAAATGTCCATTTACTAACTCCCGTCTCTCCACTCTGACGTCGGACTTGTTGACGGCTTCAAACCACACGCGGCCCATGGCAGGGGCTCGGAAAGGAAATGCTGAATTGAATCAACCTCTTGGGGGGTGGGGTGGGGTTGGGGGCTGGGGGCAATAGGGACACCCACGCACTGGCAGAGGGAGCAAACTGTACAAGCCCACAGTGGGGGTGGGGGTGGGGCTGGCCAGGACCCCCAAATGACCAATGCTTCCCTGCTTTGACCCAGCCACCCCCTTCTAAGAACTTCTCATACAGCACCACGCGTGTCTGGAGACATGTCCGTGCAAGCGCAGTTCCGTCCGGGCTGGCTGAGCAGCAAAATACCAGGGACCACGCAAACATCCGTTGAAAGGGGACTGGTAAAATCCACACAATAGGAAACAATGCAGCTGTTCAAAAAATGAACAAGAAAGGTATGTCCTCCTGGGGCAGGTACATTAAATTTAAGCAGCAGAGTGCAGGGCAGACAGCGGAGCAGGCGACCGCGGGGGTAAAAGAGGGCCGTACGCGTGTGCGCCTGCGTGTGGCTGCTGAGTATGTAGGCCACCTCTGCAAGGATTAGTGGGAAACCGGGCGCATGTTTGCCTCCAGGAGGAGGGCCAGGCAGGAAACTCGGGCCGTGTAGACTTCTGTGCCTTCTGCATTGTGAACAATGAAAACGTTTTACCTGTACTAAAAATACACATTAAATGGAACAGTAAAGTCACAGTGGGATTCCTTCTGGCACCTTCCGCGCTGAGACTACAGAAACACGTACATCCAGTCCACCCCATTTCCTGCCTGGCCCTACCCCTGCGGGCCCCACCTCATCACTAGGCACTTCCTCCAGGAAGCACCCCCCCACCCCCGACCTCCTCCCTCGCTGGTCAGGTGCCACTCCGGGCCCCTGGACCCTGTGTTCTCCCTGCCACGCTCTGCTCGTGCCTTTCTGTCTTGGTCTCTCTGCCTCTCCAGGAGTCTGAAGGACGGGGACCTGGAGGGAGACCGGCATGATGCAGCCCTAGCCTCTCCCCAGGAAAACGCCTGCTGGGCAGACACCGGCCACACGTGGAGCACCTGCCAAGGGCCGGCTGCGAACCAGCCGCAGGGCGGAGCTGCCCTCGGCCTTTCTGCTGCTCCGCCAAGCCAGGCCGCGCGTGTGATTTCCCTCAAAGCCCAGGTGGGGCCACTGTGCTGCAGGAGGGGGCGGTGCGCTTACCTCGCTGGCTTCAGGGCCCCTGCGCTGCAGAGCGTGGCCAGGCTCCTCCAGGGAAGGCCACCATTGTCATTTGCTGACAGCTGGTTTGACAAATCGTTTTCTGCTTCTGCGGCCAGGCTGGCCCATCTGGCTGGTCCCCAGAGGCCTCGGGTGACCGCAACAGCGCTCCCCAGAGCCAGGTCCTGCCTGACCCTGCTCGGTCATCCGAGCAGGCCCTGAGCCCCAACCTGGGAGCATCTGCCAGGCGGGGCCCTGGCTGCCTCAGGCCCGCCGACGACCTCTTCCGGGGGCTGGGTCTACAGCCAAGGCGAGGAAAATGCCGGAGTCTGCCGTCCACCATTACAGCCCCAGCGCACAGCACTGACCAGCGGGAGGCAGCCCCAGGGCTGGCCCCGGGTGGCAATTCACAGCTTGGGGCAATGAGTGGTTTCTGGCTTCAGAGCATGATTGATTACAGTCCTCGGTCACACTGCAAGGGCTGCCTTGGCTTCCTGCAATGAATTTCCCCTGGTGCCTCTCCGCTGAGGCCCAGAGGCGAGCAGAGGCCGGAGGGAGCTCTCAGGCCGCCAGACGTGCAGCATCGACCGTGGCAGAGCAGCCTGGGACCAGACCCCCCCGCCCCGCCCCCGTGCAGGCTGCTGGCTCAGTGGGGCGGCTCAGTGGGCTGTTTGCCCCACTCCCCCTGGCTCATATGCTCTTCATCGCATTTCCCGTGCGCAAAGCTAATGATGTCAGTCCCAAAATAAAGGGGGAGGGGTGAAAGAGATCACGAACCCACATCACCGACCAGCTCTGCAGGATGTGGCACCACGGGGGTGCCTGTGGGTGGCTGAAATGGCCAAAGTGGCGAAAACAGCAGTTTCCAGTGTGGGGGCTCCTTGAGCGGCGGTGAGGGAGCCGCAGGTCCTTGGGCACAGAGACGGGCATCTCCTTTATTCCTGCTTCCCAGCACGTGCCCGAGGACCAGCCCCCACACTGCACACCCCGCTCAATGTTTCTGGAACAAACAATGGGTAGGTCTACTGCTCAGTCCAAGCATAAGGGATAACGGACGCGGCGACCGTGGGCGTAACCACGGCCCCACGGGCTCCGTGAGATGGGAGCCGCTCAGCGAGCTCACGCCCACTTCATCACGCCGCTTGTCTCGTGAATCCACGGCACCTGTTCCCGTCACTGCGCTGCGGGTAGGTGCCTCAGATGCTAAGACTTCAAAGGAAGCTGGGGGCAGGGTATGTGGGAACTCCCTGCACTTTTCATTTCAACATAAAAAAGTTAAAGTGCACTAATTAAAAATCCACGTGCCTTGCCTATCACCTGGGGAGCCCTCGGTTTCTTGTCCTGGTACTGCCTCGAACTTACATGACAACCGTGTCCAGGAGGGGACAGAACTGGGCAGGTGGCTGAACTTTCCCTCAAGCCCTTCACCAGCCTGTTCCTAAGGAGAGAGACGACGCCTCTGAGGCGCAAGCCCAGGGACAGGTCTGGGCAGGTGCGGCCCAAGCTCCCCTGACTCTCCTGCTGGGCGGCCTGCTCTCAGCATGGAGGCCTTCTTCTGCCACCCCTGGGTCTTGGGGGAAGGAAGGGGTGCTGGGTGGGGACAGGCAGTGATGTGACCCCATGCAGCTGCCATAGCAGGGGTCACTCCTCCCCCAGCGGAGTTTGGTTTCCTGCCTCAGAGCCTTAGCACATGCTGTTCCCTCCGACTGCGATGCCCTTTCCCACATTGCCCATGTGCTGGACACCTCACTGGTCCTGGGGGTACCCCTTCCTGAATAGCCTCCCATCCCCTGACGCCAGGCAGCAGTGGCCCTTCCCTTCATCACACATTGGTGACTTGTCTGCCTGGGTCCCTTCCGTTGCCCCGGGAGCTCCCTGGGGCAGGAACCAAGGTCGACTGATCTCTCTCACCCTCGGACCATGTGGCCTGGATGTCAACAAAAGCTGAATGGAAGGACTGATTAGAAAGTTCTGATTGGTTTTTATTGTTTTAAAATTTAAAATATATAATTACTTAAATCAAGCATTTCATCTGGTAGACAAAAATCTTTTAAAATCTGGGGACTGGTCCCGGGGCGGAGGAATAACAAAACAGTTCTCGATGGCTGGCGCTGGTAGGAGCTGCCAGACCCGTCCAAGGCGCCCACCGAGCACGCTGGCCTCTGGGTGGGCTTGTTGTTCGTTCTGGGGGGCTGCCCGCGCACTGGGGACACTTCGCAGCATCCTTGGTGTCTACCCATTAGACACCAGTAGTAGCTTCCCAGTTGTGACAACAAAAACATCTCCAGACATTGCTAAGTTTGGTGGCTCTGCGGGGACAAACCCAGGTCCTGATGGAGAAGCACTGGGCCAGTTGCTCAGTTCTGGTCCAGGGAGCGTCCCCTTTGCTGCCTGGGCATCTGCCAAAGCCGGACCCCTTGTAATTTGCAAGGCACAGACCCGCTTTTCTCTCAAGATCTGACAACCATGGAAACCCCGAAGCCAAAGGCAAAGCCACTTGCCACTAAATGAGCACTTTGATTGCTACCAATTTCTTAAAGCGCTCTCTCAAGGCTCTGCTTCAAATATTTATGGAGCCTAGGAAATGGCCCCAGCAAGCGAGCGATCCTATTAAATTTATAACTCCAGCGGTGATTTATGGGCCCGGGAACTGCTGAGGATGCTTTGTCGAAGCTCTCTGTGGAACGCCAGGATCCGTGCGGGGCTCCGGAGCTCGGGCGGCGGCGACAGGGTGTCGGCAGGGACGGCTGAGCAGGACACTCCGCCTTCTTCTTGCAGACACTGTGCAGGGAGTCCTGCCGCCACAGTGGCCGCGGCTGGGCGCGGTCCTCCATCAGGCGTGGGCCCCGAAAGCGGGGGAAGCTGGAGACAAGGGCATAATGAAAGGGTCCCTGCTTCTACGTGTCCATAAAAGCCCCTCTGGTCCCACACTTTATCCAAGGGACAGATGGCAACGGTAACCAACACATATGGAGCCCTTTCTGCGTCTGACACCAATATCCTCTGCAGTAGCGCGCCTCCTCCTGGTAAGGCCAGCGAGGCCCGCACCATCCGTGCTGCATTGTGGGTGAGCAAACGGAGGGCGGGGTGGGGGGCAGCTCTCACCCCGTGCCATCCAGCAGGTGCCCGACAAGACACCTGGTGGGTGTCCCCACAGAACGGATGTCCTCTCTAAGCTTTCTAGTTCCCAGTGACAAAAGAGAGTGACCCTCCCACTCAGAGGGAGCCAATGTCTACCGGACACCAGCCTCCCGCCTGGCACTGCCCGTGGGTCTCTGCAAATGGGCCGTTCCACATGCTGCCATTCAATCCTCCCAACAGGCAAGTGTCAGGCCCACGTTACAGGCGAGGAAATGGTGACCCGTTTCAAAGACTCTAAATAGCTCCCTAAACTGACGTAGCTCGGAAGCGGCTGGCTTCGTGTGCAAGCCCCAGCCCATCTGATTTCAAGCCCCTCGTCTCTCTAGATCGCGGCCAGCAGCGATTATACACGTGTTAGTCCTTCACGCCCTTCAGCTTCTCCCATTTATTGAGCACCTTCCCTGCGAATGGCAGGTAGGCCCCCTGTGCTCAGTAATGAGTCCTACTTATGGTGCGACTAGTGTGTCAGTGTCTGACCAGTGACAGCAGCAGAATGGAGCGAACTTCCCCAGCGGTCCCAGGAGACAGTGACCAGCGACCAGTGTTTCATGCTCAGTGGCCCCTGCCGCATCAGTGGGAGCTGCTGAGAAAGGCAGAGCAGGGAAGAAGAGGACTAATGATCAGGAAGCAGCTTCCTCTGCGCCTCACCTGGGCCAGTCCCTGCCCACAAGGTGCCCCCCATCCAGGGGGAAAGGCAGGCAAGCCAGTGTGCGATCGCGCTCTAGACGTGGAGCTGGAAGGTGCCATGAGCTCCTGGGGTGGGGGCGGGGGGCGATGGCTCACTGTGGAGCGGGGAGGCCTCCTGGAGGAGGGGCAGCCAGGGCTGGATTTGGGGGCGGGGCAGGATCTTGTTACGTGTTAAAAAACCAAGGTCATTCTGCACAGAAGAGCACGCACACGGAATATCAACACCAACTTAAGGAATCTGAAGTCTATCTTGCAATAATAATACTAGTTTAAACCATGGGAAACCACTAATTTTGTAGGGAAAGGGTGGTATATAGCAGCAATTTTATATGGTTCAACCCATGACGGTGAACATTTGTTGAGCTCCTATGGCATGCCAGCCATCATTCTAAGCAATTTATGCATTTGTATCCATTTAATCTTTAACCCAAAGAGGTAACATTTTCACCCCATTACACAGATAAAGAAATAGAGGCCCAGAGAGGTTAAGTGACTTGCGCCAGGCCACACAGCTCGTAAGCAGGCAGAGCCAGGTTGTGAGCCCAGACTACCTGGCTCCCAGGCCTTGTACTATTCACCAGGACAGTCTGCTGCTGAGCAGAGGGCCAAATGGTCTTCAGTGGGAGAGTGACAGGATTGGGCTTATGGCATACAGGGACAAACATTCAGTCACCATGGTTTACCAGCCTTTTCTGGATATTTTTGTACATTTTTAGCCTCCCCTACCTTCCTTTTTTTTCTCTCTCAGCTTACCATAAAACAATATAATTATGACATGTAACATTTTTGCTACTGCCCTTCAAAAGAACCTTGTTTTGCTTGCGGGTCACTAATGCCGCAGTGTAGTGATTGAACAAATTGGGTTTCACTATGGGAAGCTCCTGCCCGGAGCCAGCCGAGACGTCCAGCTTGCCATCTGGTTTTGCCAGGGCAGGGGGCTCTGCTCCCCCACGTCCTTTACAAGTGACCAGAGCCAAGGCTGCCATGAACGTGCAGTGTGGACAGTGAGGGCAAGATGCCTGCCTGGCCTCCTGGAGAAAGAGCGTGACAGCCCCCTCTCCCTCCGAAGCTTCCTATGGGTCAGGTTCTATGTAAAGCATGGGGCGGGGGAGCGTCCAAATGGACCTTCTGTCATCTAAGCACGAAGAAACCAAAGTATCCTGTGGACCTGACTGAGGTCCAATCAAGGAAGAATTTTCATCAGGGGCATTCTGCGTCTGTGGGGTTCACTTTGAGGAAAGTTGAACAACGGGAGTCTTGGAACCATGAGTGGTAAGATGCTCTCTGAGTGCATCCATTTATGTAATTTATGCTCTGTTTTCTCCAAAGCTTTGCTATGGATTTCTGGCCAGTATCGCCTGGAGCAGACATTTGAGTTTTTCCTCACACTGAACTCCAGGTCGGAGCATCCGAGGAGGCAGGAGGGACCTGTTCTACCTCCCATCCCCCGACAATGACGGCCCAGCATGATGTGGCCACATAATGACCAAAGTGCCAGCCCTCAAGCCAGGCTGCCCCAGTTGGAACTCCGGCCCTGCCACCTCAGCTGGGGGCAGCCACTTCCCTCCTCTGTGCCTCACCTTTTCTCATAGGTGAAGTGGCGCTGAGGCTGAGATCTACGTGGCAGCCCCATACAAACACCAGATAAGCTAATGCACTGCACATATAAGCACGGCACAGAGAAGCATGAACGAAATGGGAGTGGGGGTGTCTTTCTCATCCTGTCCTTATCGGCATCATCGTTATGTCCTCTGAGACTCCCCTCTGCACCCTCAGGCTCTGCACGGCAGCCACATTTCATTGCCTGCAGTACCCCCAATACTTCACAGGCAGGTGCCCCTCTGTCTTTGCAGGTGCTGTTCCTTTGCCTAGAGAGCCTTCTACCTGTCTGAGATCACACAGGTCAAAGATCAAATGTCAGAGGTTATTTTCCTTAAAAAAAAAAAAAAAAAGCAACGCTGGAAAGAAGGACTTATTACTAGGCAACAAGCCCTGTAGACAAGTAATTTAAAATAAAAGTCATCAGTCAGAAAAAGAAAAGTTTCAGAAGGTCAGTGACAATAGCTGTCATTTACTGAGCACCTCCCTTGCGCCAGGCAGTGCCTCTCTGATGTCCCAGACACACTTGGCTCTGCTTACCTGCTTCTGCCCTCTTAGCAGCAGCAGGCAGTTTTCTCCCCCTTTTCCAGGCGAGAAGAGTTAGGCACAGACACATTAGGAATCTGCCCAGCAACACACTGAATTACAGCTGGGATTTGAACTCAGGCCTGCCAAACTCCAAACCTCAGAGCTAGTAAAATACATTTTTCTCTGACTATAGAGAGCTGCCCTGGCTCTGACAGATTAGGACATTTTGGATCAAACCTCCACTAAGTGCAACTAGGAGAGCTGGACAAAGCGTAATAAAATACCTACTTAAACCATCTGAGAGCTACTGCGACCATGACGATGTGGGGCGGACACTGAAAAGAGAGAAGCCAAGAGCGGCTGGCTCAGCACGGGACGGGAGGCCGAGTGTCCCCGGCGGGTGACGCTGGTGTCTGTACGTGACGGGGGCAGCTGAGGGGTGGAAAGCCAGGCAGAGCCTCCAGGGGCTCAGGGGGCGGATGCTGGCAAACACTATAGGCTTTGATTCGGACCCCGGAAGGCCGAGCCCTAGGAATACGAGTGAACAGGCAATGAAGCAGACCCGGTCCGTGCCAAGACCTCCGACGGGAGAGGCGGTCCGCACCGGCCTCGCTGCCTGTCGGACGCTGCAGAAGTCCTCTCCGGGTGAAGACAACATCAAGCTAAACCTCAGGTTATGTTTCTGTACAAGTTTTAACATCCAATGTCTAGCACTCACTGAAAAATAAGCAGACACAAAACACGTGATTTGATCAAAACACAAATGAGAAATAGAAAATAGAAAGACACTGGGAGAAGCCACCAGGCTTTGCGGTGTTGGTCACTTCCTAGGTCTTGACCTGCTGCGGACTTCATAGGCGTACAGCACTCACAGGTAGTTCACTGAGCTGTACACTTACAAGTTGTATCCTTTTCTTTGCATGTTTCATAACTTCGATCAAAACACTTATTTAAGATATGAGGTGACAAATGTCCTCTCACCTCCAGAGAATCTGGTCGAGCTGTCTGTGCCGGCCACTCAGCCTCAGTGAGACGCCAGGACTCGGGGTGCAAAGGTCTTAGGAGGGCGCTGTCCATTTCAGGATTGAGGAGATATTTCTGAGCTGGAAGACAATACCCTCGGTCAAGCCTCAACCCAGAAGTCTGTAAAATCAGCAAGTCTCTGAGCCTTGTCATAACCCCTTGCATCCCCAGCCCCAGTGATCGAGAGCCTGGCAGGTGCCTTGAGCTCTCCAAGCGCCCATCCACACACCTCTGAAGGTTCTGTCATGGTTGGGCTTGCCCTAGAAATCTGCTGCCTGCCTCCCTCGCCCCTGCCTGGCTTCAGGCGGGGGGCCGCCACCTCGGCCAGCTGGCTCACCTCTGTAACCTGACAACACCTGCCTGGGTGGCACACACGGCAGCCTTCTGGAAAAGCTGCAAGCCTAAGCAGCTCAATCAATCTAGTACACTTCTTTCTTTGAAAGATGAGGAAACCGAACCCAGAGAAGGGAGGAGATTTGCACAAATTAGAGGCAGAAGCGGGACCAGCTTGAATCCATGCTCTTCCGATCATGAAAACAGATCAGAGACTGAGGACAGATCTCTCCTCCGGTGCCAAGCACTCATCACTCGTGAGAAAGGTTGTAGTGTCCTCCTTTTGCAGACCAGAGTCTGGGCCTCAGAGAGGTTAATTAACTCACCCACGATCACACAGCTGGCAAGGACAGAATATGGTGGTACCAGACCTGCAGAGAAGCTCAGTCGCCTGAAGCTAACCCCATCCATCCCTCCCCCACGCATTTATTGCGCACCCGATAGGAATAGCACCCTGAACAAATCCTCAGAAGCCTGCCCCACCCTCATGCAGATGGTACACGGCACTTACACAGGAAGTTCTCTCTGGTCAGGGGGCATCTCAATTTTATTTTTAATAATAAAAGTAGCAGTACAAAAAGATCACCCACATTACCATCTCTCTAAGAACCACCGTTAGGGGTTTAGTTGCTCCTAAGTTGTCAATCACTCAGAGTCACGGGAGTCATTCGATACATTTCATTTCCCATCTCTTGTTAATTTAGCGGCATATCATCGCGTCTGTGCTATCACAGGCTGCTTGGCAGCATCGCTTTAGTGACTGCTATTTCACGGGGAGTACGAGTTAATTAGCAATCCCGGTGCTTCTTTTCCCCCAGTTTGTCACCATCCTAAATGCCCCGGCAGGGGCGCCTGTCCACTGGGCTTTCCCACGCAAGGAACTGCTTCCTTAGGATGCGTTTCTAAGAGTGCGGAGAAATAAATACATAAATAGGTAGGTAGATAGAGAGATAAATAAATAAATAAATGGAGCCATTTTAAAACGGAGCCAAGCTGCCGGCCCAGAGGGCTGCCTTGTACGACTCATGCCTCAAAACTTGGGGTGTTCAAACGGGGCAAAACGGCGTTTGGACGGGGCCTAGGGCCACCCTGTGCTCCAAAGACCTGTGAGCAAAGACAGCAAGAAAGCAGCTGTTACGACTACTAGTCTGATGACTATGGACCGAAAATGGACAGCACTGTTCAGAAGCAGCCTCGCTGCGGTAGCGTATCTGCGCCCACCGCAATTCCGCTGTCTCCTCGTGGACACTGTGTGGGCCTCTGTCTGAATCCTGAGCCCGTGCTTTCCTGAATTCTCATTGATCTCAGTTAAATGCTGGGCGCCGCTCGCTTTGAAAGGCCTCTTATTTTTCGGCCAACCAGGGAAAGAGCGCGGCTGAGGAACTGCGCCCTTTCTGTAGGGGCATTTTGCATTTTTTCTAATCTGTTCTCTGGAGGTTGGGTCGCGGGAAGGCCAGGGAAGTAGGGGCAGGGGTACGGGAAGGCGGGCTTGGTCTCCTCATCGGCCGCACTTGACCGTGGGCGTTCTCCCGCCCTGGCCCACCCGGCAGGTCGTCCCGCTGCTTGGGCCCCGGTCTGAGCCCACAGGCTGCTCCTAATTGACCATCGCACTGACCTCTTGCAGCCGCTGTCTTCTCAGGCTGGACGTCCAGGTGGTAACCCGTCTGGAAGAAAAGACATTTCAGGAGTTACTCTGCACAACACGGGAGGAAAAGCCTTGCACAGGTGACTGTGACTGAGCAAAGCAGGGCCACCCGGCCGTCCCTGCACACTGAGAACCAGCCGTCCAGCGGCGAGAAGGAGCCACCGATCGGGAGTCTGTATCGATGACCCAGGCCCCATGCTGCCGCCCGTATTCCCGAAAACGCTGCACGGTGCCGTCAGCCCCTCCTCACGTGATGATGGGGGCTGTGAGCAGGCTCCCACAGCCGGGTTCAAACCCAGGCTCTGCTCCAGCAAGCGGCTTAACACAACAAAGGCTGAGCTGGAAAGCCACTTACACACGTGTGCTTTGGGCAAGGCTTGTCCTCGGTTTTCTCACTGGAAATGGGGTAATGACAGCAATAAGGGAGTAATCGTAATACTAGTGGCCAGGGCCAGGTTGCTCCATGGGTTGGAGCATCATCCCATACACCAAAAGTTTGCAGGTTCGATCCCTGGTCAGGGCACATACCTGGGTTGCGGGTTTGAGCTCTGGCTGGGGCATGTACAGGAGGCAACCGATTGATGTTTCTATTTCACGTCGATGTTTCCCTGTCTCTCCCTTCCCCTCTCTCTAACATCAGTGGAGATATCCTCAGGTGACAATTAAAAAAATTAAAATAAAATAAAATAGTAATGTAAGGGTAGTAGCTTCCCAGGGGGACTACTTGTATTATTACAATACATACGGCACGTAAAAAAATGCTTGTCTGGTGAGTGGCACATGCAAGGGTCCCCTCCTAAGGCCACAGAGCCAGACGGTGGCAGAGCTAAGATTTGAACCAGGGCTCCTCGACACTAGGGCCCGCGCTGTTGACAACGGCCCACACCGGGACCAGGTTCCCGCTATGCGGGGCGTCCTTTCAAGGCACCTGCCGAGCTATCTCGTTCGGTCTTTACAGCAACTCTGCCGGGCAGGCTGCAGCACCCCCGTTTTACAGACGAGAACACTGAGGCTCAGTGCAGTTACGGGTCTTGTCTGAAGACGCACGGTCGTCAGCCAGCCTCTATCTCAGCCCTGTGCTTGCTTCCCTCATGGCACTCGCTGCCCCTGGTGATGATTCCACCAGTCTGCCCGCTCCGCCCTTCAGCCTGTCAGGGTCGCCGCGTCCCCCCAGCGCCCCAGGGCTGCGCCTGGCTCGTGGCGGTGGGTGCTCAGTGGGTATTTGTGGAAGGAAATGGCAGAGCCAGCTTCTGTGGTCTGTGGAGGGAACGGTGAGGCATGCCCAGATCATAAAAATGGGGGTGTTCTTGGAGAGGTGAATTGTCCAATAATGCAAAACCCGTCAGAGCAGAAGCAAAGTCACCTGGGGGAAGGGATTGGCCATGGCCAATCAAAAGGTCCGGGGGAGCCCCCTGCCGCAAGAGGAGATGTGTCCAGGCCCAGGGACACACCCGCACAGGAAGTGAATGCATCTGCTGACGACAGGGCTTCCCGTTCCCCTCCTGGGCTCCCAAGCAGCCCTCTGATCATAAGTGATTATCGACTGACCAAGGAATAAACGAACGAATGAGCTTGACTTTGCAGATAAATAGGGGAGAACAGGATGACATTTCCCTACCCTTCCACCCAGCCCTTCAGCCCGTGCGCAGTTCTGTTTCCCAGAGGAAGCGACTGAATCAGTGTTCGGGTTCATACATCAGTCTCTGAATTTGGCCGCTGTGGGTCCACCTGTGCGATCCCAGTGAGCATGTCAGTTCCAGGTGCAGAGCCCGCAGGACTGAGGTGCCGCCACAGAGTGTGGGGCTCTCACCGCCCTGTGTCCTCCCAGGTGACGTCACAAACTGCATCCCGCGCCCTGAAGCTTTGCTCGGTCCCGCCTCAGTCGGCACGTGGGGCCGTGCCAGGTATCTCCATAACACGCGGACTGACTTCCGCACAACTCTGCCGGCTCTGAGGCAGCTGGACCCGCTCGCGCAGAGACCAGCACGGGGCTGGGGGCCTGAGGCTGTGGGTCCAAGCTGCTCTGGACCAGGTTGCAGGTGGCCCTGCACAGGCCCCTCGGCCTCCAGGTCTCCGTGTCCTCGGCCATGTGGTGACCTGGCACAGGGTCAGCCAAGACTCTCTGGAGGCTGAGCGGCAAAGACGGGATGGAGAAGACCGGCACCGCAGCGGCTGGGCTCGGGGGGCGTAGGGGCGGCCCAGACCTGGGCGCAGCTGCCGAGAGCGGGAGCCTGGAAGTCAGGGCCAGCAGCGTCGTCGGCAGCGGGAGCTACATGTCACCTCACAGTGTCAGGAGCTCCCTGGCAGGGCCACTGTGGCCTGGTCCCAGGCACGGGGTTGCGTGCGTATGCGTATGTGCACACATGCACAAGTGTGCGTGGGCTGGCTCAGCCCAGCGCCCGCGGGCCCTGCGTGCGCACGAACACCCAGGCACTGCTGCTCTGGCCCAGGCGGACCCTCTACCAGACGCGGGGCGGACCCGGTGTCCATTGCCCTCTGCACCACCCGGGGGGCTGTGTGACCTTGACTGAGTGTCCCAACTTCTCTGAGCCTCAGTTTCCTCTTCCACTGACCACCAGGAGAAGAGATCCTTATTCATTCCCTCATTGGTTCGTTCGTTTGTTCGTTTGTTCATTCATTCATTCGTTCATTCATCTGAATGTTCCCTGAGCAGATTCTCTGCGCCAGGCACAGGGAGACAGAGACGGGTATGGAGCGGCCCTGGTGCCAACAGACAGGTGCCAAACAAATCCCCACCTCAGGGGTGGGGGAATTCCTCCCATGGGTCATGTCAGGCGTATCCGTGTGCCACGGAGGACAGAGGAGCTAACTGTGGTCCCAGGGATTCAGAACAAGCTCCCTGGGCAAGGTTGCCCTTGAACTGTGCCCCGAAGAATGGAGAGGGGGCTGAAGGGCAAGCAAGAACCTTGCCAGCAGAAGCAGCAAGTGCAGAGGGCCTGAGGCCCACGGGAAAGAACCTCCGGGTGAAACGAACCATGGGGCCAGCACGACACTGAGCTCAAGTGGCTGCGTGTCTGCCGTGAGCACCGTAAGCGGAAGGACGGCCAGGCCCCCTTCCCCACCAGCCCCAGGCACAGGTGCTGGCGCAAAGGAGGGGTTCCGGGGGGGATCCCCGGGGATCAGTGCACAGAGGGAGGAGGGGAGAGCACTGCAAGTCAGGCACGGGGACAGCCGGTCATGTGCCTGCGCCCCGCCCCCGCAGACACGGGACAGGCCTGGCCCCGGGAACCTACCTCCAGGAGCCCCGGAGCCAGGAAGGCGGCCGCATACTCGGCCAGCGCCACGTCGTTCACCGCGCTGCGCACCGTCTCCGACAGCAGGGGGTCGGCCGCCCCGAGTTGGCGCAGCTCCTGCAGCAGGCGCACGAGCAGGTGGTTCCTGTCCCGGCACTTCTGGACCAGGGAGGCCAGCTTGGCCTGTGGGGGTAGAGACACAGCCAGCTGGGCCCCTGGATGCAGGGCTCCTGCGGGGGCGGGGCGTCGGCTCCCCGCTCTGCCCACCCCCCGCAGCCCCTCCCTCCACGCGGAAGCCAGAGCCAGCTTTGAAACCAGCGGCCGCCCGCTGCACCCCCAGGGGCTCTCCGCTGCCACTGGTTGCCCTCCTGACGGGTCAGGGGCATGGGCCTCGGCTCCACCACAAATGTCCACGCCTTGCCTCTCCACGCCTTGCCTCTCCACGCCTTGCCTCGCTCATCTGCACTGTGGGTGCTTTAAGGGCACCAGGACAAAGGGAGACAGTGCGGGCAAAGCCCTGACACAGGCTGGCCACGCAGCCCTCGGCAGGCACCAGCCATTACTGCCACCAGGCACACGTGACTGCCAGACCTGCCCCTGTGCCCCTCCGTCCCCATCACGATGACCTGCCTTCCCATGCCTCCGGATCCAGCCCTACGGGTCCCTCCCCCACCCCCCCGAACCCTCTGTGGCTCCTACGTGTCCCAAGCCCCGAAAAGCCTGGTTGGATCTGTTCAGAGGCCAGCCCGGCAAGGGCTGTCATTATGAACCCTCACAAAACCGCCACGCCAGGCTGGCATCAGTTCCCACCTGCCGACGGGAAAGCTGACACTGGGGGAGGTGGGGTGTCCCCCCCAAGGAGAAGCTGGGTTTCCCAGGGCCGCTGTGGTGCCTGCCGTCCAGTCCAGCCTCTTCCGGGCCGGGCCTCGTGGACGCCGCGGCGCCGGTGCCGGGGTGTTATTTTGGCCTCCCTTGACGTGGGAACACTTCATAGCGCGCCAGGGGTCACGGCCCTCGTTTGAGCACACAGACCGCAGCAAGCGCTGAAAACCAGAGGGCGTAGCGCCGTCCGGGTCCACCGCTCAAACCCCGGCGCGGTTTTTGAAAGGGAACATGTCACGGCAATCGAATTGCACATCAGACCAGCAAAGAACCTATGGAGGAAATCCTGTGGGCCAGCAATGCCATTTCTGGGAGTTTTATAAAGAAATGTGTGGATTTGCGGGGAAACCTTTCTAATGAAAAGTGTGCATCAGGGTGATTACAAACAGTAATGCACGAGAAAGAGCGGGAGGGAGCGAGGGAGGGAGGACAGAGGAAGGAAGGAGGAAGGACGGACTTGAGCACACCGAGGGGTGGCAGCGTGAGAACGGCAGTGCCCCCTGGTGCGTCCTGCGCCGGGAACAGCAGCTTCAAAGGCCGGCAAGGACGGGACCGCCCTTCCAGGGGACATTCTCAAGTGGGACGAGCAGGGCCCAGACAGACAGGCAGAGTCGGATCTCAGACACGTGTAAAATACACGGGGTGACCACTCTAGATTCCAAGGGGGCCTGGGGGTGACTTTCTCTCTCTTTCTTCTTTCCAGCACTTTTACAGAACAGTGATGGATCGCATCTACAATGGGCAAAACACTACACTTGTTTTGGAGGAGACACTTTATATTGACTTAAAAAATGTGTTACCTTCAGCCCTGGCTGGTGCGGCTCAGTGGACTGAGCGCTGACCTGGGTACCAAAGGGTCGCTGGTTCAGGTCCCAGCCAGGGCACAGGCCAGGGTTCTGGGTCAGGTCCCCAGTAGGGGGCGTGCAAGAGGCAGCCACACATGGATGTTTCTCTCCCTCTCTTCCTCCCTCCCTTCCCCTCTGTCTCAAAATAAATAAATTTTAAAAATCTTTTTTAAAAAATGCATTACCTTCAGAGGAGTCACAGCCAAATTTGCTTCGTGTTGCTTTTTCTGAAGCTCTTCCACCTGGAAGGCAAGGGTTTGGCCAAGGCTGAGCTGTTGCTTACACAGCTCGGTGCTTCCCCGGCTGAGCAGCTCACAGACGTTGGCTCTTGTCCCCTCTTGTCCCTCAGGGGGTCTCAGTGGGGAACAGGGGCCTTTCCCGTCACCTGCCCAGCAGGACCAGGGAGGAGGGATGCTCTGGGCCCGGAGCGGGGGTCCCACCGGGCCAGCTCGGTCACCTCCCCTGCAGGAAGACCCCATCGCGGGTCCCCATACAGAGGTGGTGCCAGAGTTTTCTGACGCCGTGTTACACCTATGGGTTCCTGGGCCGGATACCCCGGGTCCTCATGCCGGCCCAGCCACCTCTACAGCTGTGACCTTGTGCAAGTCACTCTCCCCTGCCCCCTCTTCTCTGTGAAGGGTGGGTGCGGTTCGTGCCCATCCAACGGTGACAAGTATAGCAAGGATTCCATGAGCGATTCTGGGGCCAGGCTTAGGCCAAGGCCTGGCGTGCGGCCCACACCCAAAGCTGTAAACCCCATTACCACCTGCGGCAGCGGCGCCGGCCGCGGGCGTGGCACCCAGCGCCCAGCGGAATGCCACCAGCAGGTCCTCGCTGATGGCCTGTGGGGCAGACCCGCCCAGCCGAGTCCTGCCTGAGTGCCTGGCCCACAGTCACAGGAGGTAACAACGTGGGTGTCCTCACTCACTCCCCTGGCCCTCCGCGGCTGGTACAAGAACGCCACGCGGGCAATAGTCCTCCTTCTCCCAGCCTCTCCCGACCTCTGACCTGCACCCCCATAATCCGAATGCGCGTGTGTGCGTACACATAAGAAAATATACTGCACAGAATGTTCCACAGCTTGCCTTTGTCATTCAACTTGTCATCGTGGCGTGACTTCCTTATCAACACAAACTGGTCACATTCTTTTAAAGTCTTGTGTATTATTTGATCATGAGGCTGAAACATCATCTATTGAACTAATTCTTATTTACGACAACGTGGATGGTTTCTCCTTCTCTGCTCCACACACAGGCTTCGGTGGTCGTGCCTGTGTCTGTGAGTCTGTGTGCCTGTCTGCGCTGCCACCGCTCTCTGAGCGCGTTCAGGGCGCCGTGCCCGCCCCCGGCAGGCTGTGGCCCACGCGAGAGGCGCTCGATGACACGCGCGGTCTTGGACCCGGCCCTGGCTCTGCTCTGTTGCCGTGAGCGTTGTACCAGGCCGTTTGCAGTTAAAATGTGAACGAGAAGAAAGAAAAGAGACAACAGGGTGACAGACAGTGTTTGTCAATCAGGCCCACGCAGGGGCTCGGGCCTGGGCTCCGTCACAGACGCGTCCTGCTCGGCAACAGCCGAGAGAGGTGATCAGGAAACACACGAAGGGCCTGAAGAGACATTTCTCCAAAGGAGATCGACGAGCTGCCGATAAGCACCTCGTTAAAAACGGAGGTAATTAAAGATCTGCATGCAGCGGTAAGAACTCATGCAGCGAGGCCCCACAGACACTGCGCCGGGTCCCCCATTGGAAACGGTTTGGGAAACTGTAGCATCTGACAACCATGTACTGCAGGTATATTGATATGGATACAGCCCACCAACTGTATTCCGGTTTCTCCAGTTTAACGTGCACTTGCACACGTGTGTGTCCGTGTGGGTCTCTACGAGTACGTGTGGGAGTCTGTGTGCCAGGTCCTATGCAACATTGTCGCCTGTGTGGGCTCCTTTCCCCACGACCGCAGATGAGTGCCACAGTCCAGTGCCACAAGGGTCCCTGTCAGCCCTGTCAAAGCCACAGCCACCTCACTCCTAGAGAGGAGAGACTTCTGGTTAGGGAAAGCCAGAAAAACTGGTGGACTTTCTAAAAAAAAAAAAACCCACACAGGTGTTATTCATTTTCGATCTCCTAGGTGAGCCTGGTGGATTTTCCTTCTGACACTGCTCTGAGCTTGAGAAACCCACAGACGCTGAGCAGTGGCTGGAAATGCCCCACGAGCAGTTGCCTGACTCTTTCCTCGGTCCCTGCCATCTGTCCATAGAAGGGAACCCCTGCCCGGCCTACCTCGGCCTGGAGCTGGTCCCGCAGGCGGAGCGCCTCGTCGCGAGCCGCCTGCAGCTCCCGGCCGGCGGACCCCTGGTCCCGGAGCTGGCACTGCAGGGTCCGCACCTGGTGGCGCAGCTGCCGGACGCGCAGCCCGAGGTCCTCCTCCGCAGCCGCGGCCTCCGGCTCCTGGAGCTGAGCAAACCAGACGGGAGTGAAATCCCCGCGTTACCCTCCGAGCAGTTTGCCTGAGCAAATTAATTTCTTTCCTGCTTATGTTTTTCTCACAGGTAAAAACTTTGAGAAAATAAAGTAACAGAAATCGCTCCAAATCCTAGGAGCCCGTACAACCATCTTATTATCCAGATATTTTCTTCCTCTTCTCTCTCCATGATCCTACACAGGTGCTCACAGGAGCGGACGGTCCCTGCTGGGTTTTTTGAGGGTGGGGGGGCGGGGGTGGAGGGGCCGGTCCAGGGAACTACAGATAACATTCTAAAATGCTCTTTGCAAACAAACTGTGTTCGCACGCATTTTCAAACACATGCAAAATAGCAGGGCATTTCAGTCTGGTTTACAGACTCTGAACCACAGTAGGATGGGCGGAATTTAATGTCCCAGTCCAAGCCTGAGACGCTTACTATGCTTACTATGCTGAAGCTTCGTAGTATATTTAGAAAAAACAGAAGATACTGCATTTCAAAGAGCTCCCTTAAATCAGTGCAAAGCAGCCCCTCACACCTGCGCGTCCTCCACGAGCAGAGCTCACAGGCGCGCCAGCCGGACCTCGGGGGCAGGGGTGGGGGCGGGGGCGGCCGTGCGGAAGAGGGGCTGAAGGGTCCGGAGGCTGCTGCCCCCGGGTTCTGGGGTCCACATTTTTATGTTTTAAATTATATATATTTTAATTTATACACACATATGCCCACATACTGATTTTTCTACAGAACACTCAACATACCACCTATGTCTGTGTGTCTTCCCCCTCCACACCTGGCCGGGGGCACTTTTCCACACCACTCAACAATGCTGAACGCCTGTTGCTGGTGCACACACAGCGCCCCGAGGCGTGGTGAGCGCTCCAACGGTTCAGCACTCGCTCCTGGCCTCGGGCTGAGCTGAGCACCCCAGCGTGGGAACGCCTGACCCCTGTGCTTCTTTCCCTGAGACCCTCAGGGGCGACTGTGGGGCCAGGGGCCTGAGCACCCCTGGGCTCTCGATCCGAACTGCCGAGACGACCTTAAGAAGGGTGGGGGGCGCTGCTGCCAGCCACAGTCCCAGGGCAGGAGCCCAGGTGCCCAGAGCCCTCTGGACGCCCTCCCCCTTGCCATGGAGGTCTACCTCCCCCTCCCGGCGGCCCCTGGAATTTCAGGCCCACAGTGGCCGTCCCTGCCACGCCTCCAAACCCGGGTGTGAGCGGGCAGGAAGGAGGCCCAAGCTCCTCTGTGCAGAGAGGAGAGAGAAGGCGGGGGGCCGAAGCCACGTGGCTCGGCGGCTGATGGACACCCCCTCATTAGCAAGGACTATTACAGAGAATGTGACTTTTTTAATTAATAGAAATTCATGGAGCGTGGGCCCAAGAGTCACAGGCTGGGCCCTGTCGGGAACAGATGGGCGCTCCGAATGGTCGTGGGAAATCCAGCTCCAAGCCTTGCAAAACAACTTGGCCTTTCCGGGAAGTTTGGTGCCTTTGCTGCCTCCTTCCTCTGCAGGGACAGACAGGACTCTGCCCCGGTGGCCCCGAGAGCACCCATGGCACGTTCTAAGGAGAGTGGAGTGGGCGGGGCCCCGCCTGCCACGTGGGACCACACGGCAGCCCCGGGAATGGTCACAGGACTCACCGGCTCCCTGACACGCTGGCGCGTGTGCTTGGGCCGCCGCAGTACTCGCCCCGCGGGGCGCTCTGTCTGGGGGGTGGGGGTGCCGGGGCAGAATCAGGCCCTCAGCACACATGGGGAGGGCAAGCCGGAGGCTGCGGGGGTGAGAAGAGGCACTGAACTGAGGCGCCTCGGGACCCAGGGGCAGGGGGTGGTGAATGTGTATCCACCATTCTCTGAGTTGGGGGAGGAGCCCAGGAACTCGATTGGCAGTATAAATACTCCCGCACGGCCAGCTGCCAGCTGCCAAAACGGTGTCACAAAGAGGAGCTGGGAGGAGACGCACCGAGCCACCTCTGCCCCAAATCCCTCCTGGGGCATCGGCAGGAGATGCCCCAAAATGAGACCCAGAGAGTGCGCTGCGGTGGAGGGAGGGCAGGCCAAGGACATAGGCGCCGGAAGGCGGGGACACAGAAGGGGGAATGCGAACGGCAGTAGCCGAAGTTCCTAAGGAGCCAGGTCACAAGTCACCCAAAAGAATCTGGACTCGTGCCAAGTGCCATAGGAAGACACGAGAGTTTCAAGCCAATAAAATCATGACCAGGTTGTGACATAGGGTGAGGGAAAGCGGACGCGTCTGTCAACAAACCCCACTGAGTCCAACTCCAGTTTTTGTCTGGACTCCTCTCTTCCTTCAATTCCAAACCCCTCCACTGTGTCATCATAAACCGCCAGGCCCTCTGGGGCGCTCTCCCCGCACCCACCCGCCCCTTCTCCTCCCCGCAGACGACGATCTTTTTCAACAGAGGCTGCATCGCGGTGTTGTTCTCCGACGCAAACCGCCCCCTCCCCCGCCGCCCCCCGCGCTTCCCTGCGCGCTCAGCAGCGCCCACACCCGGGGCCCGCGGAGATCCAGCCGCGTCCTGACACCCTCTCCAACCTCCTGTCACCCCCCGCCTCACCCGTGTCCCCCGGCCCCAGCCACGCGGGCCACCTCCTGTGCTGCCGATCCCCCGGGCCCTGCCGGCCTCAGGGCCCGGCCACCTGCTCTCCCTCCCCCTGGAACGCTCTTCATCTGCGGCTCTTTTCCAGCCCTGAAACTCTCAGGGCAACAGTCACCACCCCCCCCCCGCCCCCCCCCCCCCCCGCCACCGAGCTCCTGCCCCTGCCAGGGCTGCCGAGCTGGGGTTGGCCAACTCTACAATCTGGGGGAAATACCCAAAAGCAATTCTTCGGCCCTGGCCAGGTGGCTCCGTGGGTTGGAGCATCGCCATGTACCCAAAATGTTGCAGGTTCGACTCCCAGTCTGGGTGTGTACGGGAGGCAACCGATCGATGTTTCTCACATCCGTGTTTCTCTTTCTCTCTCTCTCTCCCCCGTCCCTTCCTCTCTCAAAAAAAATCAATAACACATATTCTCAGGTGACGATTTAAAAAAAAAAAATGCAATTCTTTGTAGGCATTGAATGTCAAACAACGCAGGGGTACAATCTTTGAGAAAAAGGACTCACAACAAGATGAACCTCACATTCTCCTTGCATTTCTCTCTAGAACATCTTCCAAACCATAGTTCAGGACAAGCGCAACATGGCAGTCCCGCCAGACGGAAGAATCAGACTGGAGCTCAGGGACGCTTTGAGGGCTGCGGTTTGCGGGACAAAATGACAGAGAGAAGAATCTGGACACCGCCCTGAAATGCCCCTTGGGTCCTCGGCTGAATCACATGCAGGGAAGCACAGTGTGAGACTCGGCGGCCAAGCAGAGAACAGCAGTTGGGGGTCAGTTCCTAACGAGGTTTCAGAGGTCACACGTCACGAAAGAGATGGCCACCCAGTGGGGACAGCCCTTGCAGAGCGTCCTGGGAAGGCAGCTGAGGCCACGGAAAGGCCAGGGCCCAGGATCAGGGGCCACGCTCCAGGAGGAAAGTCGAGCTCTGGGACAGGGGGCAAACCTGAGATAGACCCGCACGGGACGGAGGGTCTGCCGCCCACCCCGCCGCCTGCCAGAGCAGACCTCGCCCCGCATTCACAGAGGAAGGTAACGATCAGGAATCTCTACAACCTCCTACAAAATGTCCAGCAGAAAAGTTGTTGTTTTTTTTTTAATTACTAACCATGTTAAGAAGCAGGAAAATGGGACTTAACCAACAAATAAAATGGTCAAGAGACCCAGACCCCACAGGTGATTCCAATACTGGGGCTGGAAGACAAGACCTTCAAAATCTCTCTCTTTCTCTCTCTCTCTCTCTCTCTCTCTCATCTATCTATTTAAAACAGAAAACATAAACAGAATAGATGGAAAGATGAAGTATTTCAACAAAGATTCACAATCTCTTAAAAAGGATAAAATAAGTATTCTAGAACTGCAAAATGCAATAAATGAAATTAAGAACTTATTAGATTTATAGACAGGTAGGATGCATACAACATTGAATTAGTACTGACCTAAAAGACGGGTCAATAGAAAATTCAAACCAATGCACAAAGAGAGGGAGAGAGAAAGAACAGCTGCAATCTATATGGGATACAGTAAAAAAAAATCTGTATTTTTAGAAGCGAGAAAAATAGAACAACACAAAATATTTAAAGAAATAGTAGCCAAGAATTTTCCAAATCTGATAAAAGCCACAAATCTACAATTTAAAGCAGCTCAGGGGGGAAAAACCTACAAATAAAACCACACCAAGTCAAAGTGCCAAAACCCAAAGATAAAAAGGAACTCTTATAAGCAGCCAGAGATAAAACGACACATTTCTTTCAGGAAGATAAACCAACCAACAAAACACAATGACGAATAAACCAATTTGCCTGGAACACGTTGGCGAAATGCCAAAGAGAGGGAAAGATCTGCTTACCTAAAATTCTAAATCCAAAGGAAACATACTTTTCAAGTGGAGGTGAAAACTGGCTTCCTTAGAACTATGGGAGAATTTATCAGCAGCAGCCCCTCTCGACAAGAAAAGGCAAAGCTCTCCCGGCAGAACGAGAACAGCCATAGGCGTAGAAAACGGAATGGACAACGCAGGAGAAACAGACACACACACAGACCATCGGCTGCTCCAAGCAACAACGATAACGCCGTGTACGGTTTATTATAGGCAGAAGCAAAATATGTGACAAAGCACATAATAAAAAGAAGAAAGAATAAATGAAGTTCAACTATTAAGAGATTTTTGCATTGCTTGCAACGTGGTAGAAGTACTAGTTTAAGGTAGATTTGAATAATTAATAGATACATTTTGGAATTTTCAGGATAACCATTTAAAGAATGATACTAAATGATATACTAAAGCTAATAAAGTAGAACGGAATAACAGAAACTATTTTATTTATAACAAAAACAAAGGCAGACAAGGAGAAATAAAACAGAAGCGATAGGACAAGCAGAACGACCGGTCAGAAGGCAGGCACACACCAACCGTCTCTTACGTTGGTGCTGCTTCTAAGACTCGTCTTTTAAAGGAAAACATACAGAGGCGCTGCAAGCAAAAGATGCGTGCCGTAAAAACCGTGCATTCCACGATAATACTGAAAAATACGTATTACTCTACGCATAATGATAAGGAGTGTAAAATAATATGAGGACATAAGGATGAGAGGACTGGTGTGGCTCCGTCAGCATCAGACAAAGCAGGCGTTAGGGCGAGAGGTGTCCAGGGCCGCGAAAGGCATTCCATCACAATGAAAGAGCCAGTTCAGCAGAAATACATCATAATCCTAAATCTGTGTGTTTCTCATAAATAATGCCAAAATATACGAATCAAAACTAACATAACTGAGAGAAGAAGTACCCAGACGCCCAGTCGGAGTTAAAGATCTCCAAGGGCGTCTGGGTAAATGGCAAAACCAGGCGACGCCACATCCGTGAAGACGCAGAAGATGCGATCGGCACAGTTAACCCGCCTGGCTTTGTCCACACTCATCTGCCCTGGAATTGTCAACAAGGCACGTGGGAGGTCTACACGATCGACCAGAAGCTGGTCAATAAAACAAATTTCCACGAATTTTAAAAGATTAAGATCCTGTAAGTGTATGCTTTCTGACAACAGTGAAATAAAACTAGAAATTAATAACAAAATTGTAACTAAAAAATTCCCCAGGATCTTGGAAATTCAGCAGCACGCTTCTACATCACCCGCGGGCAAGGGGAAAAAAATCGCAGCAGAAATTAGAAACTACTTCGCACTGAGTAGACGTACAAAATGGGTACAACACATCAAAATGGGCGGGAATGGCGCTCAGAGGGGAAGGCACGGGGCACGAAAGGGGAGTTCAAAAACCAGCGGTCTACGCTTTTAACACAAGAAGCAAGGAAAAGCACAGCTGGTGAAAAACCAAGCGAGAGTGGAAGAAAGAAAATGATAAAGATATAAGCAGAAACCAATGAAATAAAACACAGATATAAAGAAAACCAACAAACCAGAGGAAACAACAGATAAAATTGCTGAAAGAGGAGGAGGAGGAAGAGAGGGAAGGAGGGAGGGACGAGAAAGGGAAAGGGGTTGAGAGACAGGGAGACAGATAAGGACAATTAATATGAACGAATACAAAGGGCTCAACACTAAATGTCCCACTGACGCTCAAGACCGCCCGAAGGAGACCGTGAGCTCGCCGTCCTAGGAGTCCTGAAAGTCCAGTATTGCCCGCAGCAAGGAAGGTGGCCTACAAGTTCATGCCCTGGCTCAGTGGCAGCTACAGTAAGCGCAGAGCTGGGTTCGAGCCCTGTTTGATGGCGTCCTCGTGCCCATGGCTCTCTCCTGGGCACCGGTCAAGCCCTGGTGTGCGGAGTTACAACTTGGGCTGCTTGAAAAACCCCTTGGCCTGAGCATGCGAGGCCTGATCTTAGCGTGTAGACACACCCTCCAAATTCCCCCAGACCAGTCCCCACAGCCCAAGGGGCGGGGCAGGCTTGCGTCTTAGGTCACAGGTAAGAATGGGGACTCTGGCACCAGGCTGCCCAGGGGCAAGTCCCAGCCACCCTTCCTCCTGGCTGCGTGCCACTTAATTTCCCTGTGCCTGTGTTTCCTCATCAGACAAATGACCGTACCTCCTCACGGGGCTGCTGGACGATTACACGAGTAGGGGCTTGGTCAGCAGCCTAGAAAGTTAGTGAGAGATGAGGGCGCGGCTAAGCAGAGTCAACCTACCTGGGGGCCGCTGCACGGGGACCTCAGAGCCGGCCCTTGGTCCTCCGGCCGCCGCGGTCTCTCCTCCTCCTCTTCCGAGTGCGCCTCGCTTACTCCCGCTCCACCGCCGTTTCCTGGCGGAGCACCGTGTGCATCAGCGGTTCTCCCGACCCGTGACGGGGCAGCAGGCTCAGCTCCACACCTGGCGTTCTCTGCACCTAAGGCAGGTCCCGTCCACCCAGCAGCCTGACCCTGTCCCCCTCCCAGGGGCGGTCCCTGGGCTCCGGGAGCCAGTTGCTCGGAGAGCTGAGTCGCCTGCACCGCCCTTTCCACAGCATCCGCCTTGTCCACCGCCGCCTTGCGTTTTCCCTGTGCGCCCCCAAAACGCCCCACGTCTGTGCTCAACCCCGCAGCGACCTCCCGCTCCAGGACACGGATCCTGCGCAGCAGGTGCACGTTCTCCCCCCTCAGGGCCCGGATCGTGTCTTCCACGCCCACCACCACATCCTCAATCAGCTCTTTGTAGCCGACGCCGAGCTCCGAAATCAGCGCCTTGAGCTCCCGGTTCTCCTGCGTGACGTCCCGCACGACGCCTTCGCACCTCCTGGCGCGCTCGGACGTGGCTCTCCGGAGCCGGCCCAACCACCCCCTCAGCTTTTCATTCTCCTCTTCGAGCTCAGAAATTTTGCTGTAACTCTTCATGTTGCAGTCTTCGAGGTCGGAGATGACCTGCAAATACTGGTCCAGCTCCCTCCTTAAGTGACGGATGTCCCCGAGCAGCACACCGTTTTCCTGCTCGAGCTTGGATATCTTGCTCACATTCCTCTCCCTCTCTGTCTGGAGGGCCCGTATTTTTTGGTAGCACCTCTCTTGGTCTCTCTGCAGTTTGACGTTGTCATGTAGAATGTGGCTTCTCTCCTTCCTCAGCCCAGAAATGAGCTGACAGAGGCTTGTCCAGGCCCTCTCCTGGGCTCCCGACGGCTCACAGCCCGGGGACGGCCCCTGGCCCGGCTCGGGGGAACCCTCCAGCCCCAGACACAGGTCCTCCAAATCAGGTCCCCTCCCTGGAAGAACTTGGCCAGTCCCCAGGGCCTCGGTCCCTCCTGACTTTACGACTCCGTGACTCTCTTTGCTGTCTGCTTCCTTTGCAGGACAAGTATCCAAACCCTGGCTGGTTGGCGCCTGCCGAGGGTCCGCGTGCTCCTGGCCACTATGCCACCTCCCCGCAAAGCCCCTATCCTCTCCCTCTAACATGGAAGCTTCCCACCCACGACCCCCAGTCCCAAGTTTCAGGACAGGCAGTTGCTGGAAGCAAACCTCCATCTCTTCTGCAAACGCATCTATTGTGAGCACAGACCTGCCGTGTTCTTTGCATGGGGCCCTTGGGGGACCCGTGGGTTCGACTCCCTCAGGTGACAGGGCCCATCTGGGAAACAGTGGCAAACCTCCCTCCTCCACGAAGAAGAGCACTTCCTTGGCTTCCCATTCCTCGGAGCCAGGCTGCCCGGGAACCTGCGCGCAGCCCAGGCGGGGCCCTGCCAGATCCGACGCCGCCTCCTCCCCTCGCCCTCCTTCCGCAGGGCCCTCCCCGAGCAGAAGCAGGGCGTCTCCCGGCCACAGGTGGCTTTCCCTACAGCTCCAGATGCCTCTGTCCTCCTCTGTCAGCAGCCAAGGGCCTGTCGGTGATGGTCCTTTGGCACCAGGAACTCTGAACGATGCGGCTGGGGGAGCCCCGTCCTCCTCCTCTGAGGAAAGCCCTCCCAGGAGGCCCCAGACTTGCTCTTCCACCTCCCTCCCCCCGCTTGGGGATTTGGGACCCTCCGTAAACATGGGGACCACCCCCTGCAGAAGCTGTGGTGGAGGCTCCCAGCCAGGCCACAGGCAGGGGGCTGCCGCCCTGGGAGGGCTCCGTGGGTTTCCCAGGCCCCCAGCGCCACCTTCCACGCTCAGCTTCCCGTGGCTTTCCTGACGTCGCTGGCACCTGGCCCCAAGGTCTTCCTCCGTCCTGCCCCAAGTCCTCTGGGCCGCCCACTCCTCAGTCCCCCACTCTGGGGCTGCTCCTCCCTCCTGCCACAGGTCTTTGAGATCCCTGCGCCCTGTCCCGGGACACCGGTGATGTGAAATCGGTGAGGACTCCTCGCAGAGGGGGGCACCGCAGCTCCTCGCCTCGTGGTGCTGCCGGCAGGGGTGTCCTACGGCTCTGGGAGCCGGCAGCGACAGCCTGGCGTCTGGCACCTGCTGGATTTGGAGTTGTCCCGGAGCCGCCCCTTGGGGCAACAGGGCTGCTGCGTCCCCAGCGGGCCCCCCGGGAGGGAGCGTGGGTGCCTGAAGCAGGAGGAAGGGCTCCGGGGTCCAGGCCAGCTCCGCCGGCAGCAGTGGGCCGGCTGCGCACGGCCCCGCAGGGAAGCAGCCACCGATGAGCAGAAGAGCCTGTTCGTGCAAGCTGGCCGCGGCCGGAGCAGCCTAGGGACGGGAGAGAGGACAAGGTGTGAGACGGCTCCTCTGCCCCCTATCTATCCCCTCCCCTGCCATTCTCGGTGCCTCCTCACCCAGCCACACGGGCCTTCCCAACACGCCCACCAGCTACCGCCCCAGGGCCTTCACACCTGCTCGCCCTCCTCCCAGGTGTCTCTCGCCAGGTCCCCTCATGGCTCAGCCTCTTGCTGCATTCACATCTCAACTCAAACGTCACTCCCTCAGAGAAGCCTGCCCTCAGCCACTGGCCCCGCTCTATTTCCTGCCCAGCGCCCGCCGCCTCCCATGTCACCCGCGGAGGCGCAAATGGCTTAACTCCCCACAGCCCCGCCCTGTCCAATGCGGCACCCACGGGCCACGGGGGCGGGGGGGGGCTCTGCCAAGGGAAAGCCATTAAAATGGGAGTTGGCGTTTGGTCCCGCAGCCGTACCACCCCACGCCAAGCGCTCAGAGGCCGTGGGCCTCCCGGCCACTGCACCGCACAGCCGTGCAGACATGGAGCGTGCCCGGCGCCGTGGAGGGCTCTCATGCACCCTGGGGTGTGGGCCTCGCCCTGAGGGAGGGGCCCTGGCCTGTCCTGCCGCCGGGCACATGGTATTGCACAGGTGCTTTTCAATATGTTTTTATATCCCCTTTCTTCAGTACATTTATCCAGAGAGGGGGCCTGACCAAGCTCACAGAATAGACACAGGCTGGCCCGGGGCCCCAGCCGGCTGGGGTGGGGAGGGAGGGAGCGGGCCCTCGGGCTCACGTGGACCTGCCCCATGGCCTGGCCAGTCTTCCCATCTGCCTGCCCTTTCGCTGCCCATCCTGCTCTCCTATCTAACTCAGTCCTCCCAGCTGGGTGACAGCACACATACACACATGCACGCACTCATGCATGCATGCAGGCACAAACACGCATATGCACACATAAATGCACATGCACGTGCGAATGCATGCATGTATTCTACACAGGCACGTTGCGCACAGCAAGGCATACATGCACTCATACACATGCATGCACACATGCAAAACATGCATGCAAACATGTGTGTGCATACATGTGCACGGCCATACACATGTGCATACAAGCACACAGCCATGTGCACGTGCATACAAGGCCACACAAGTACATGTACACGCACAAGAACACATGCACTCGTGAAGGCACATACAAACACATGCATGCATGCATGTGCGCACACAGACCGCTCACACATTCATGCACACACACACAACAGCACCTCAGGGCAGGGCGTGAGATAACACAGGAGCGGGGAAGGCCGTTGCTGCGGGAGCCACAGGGCCCCCTCCAGGCTAGCGGGCCTCAGCTCTGCTCAAGCCTGTCTGTCCTTTCCCTGCAGGAAAAGGGACACTGAGGAAGGCCAGGCCCAGAGCGAGCCAGGCAGGGCCCACGGAACCAGGCTCCCGACCCTCAGCGTACAGGGTGGGGCGAGTGTGCGCCAGACAGAGCCCGGGCGGCCCCAGGACTGAGCAGCCTTGGGGACGCAGCAGCTCTTGGAGTCCCGGGTCCCTCCCCCCGGGACGGGGCCTGGCTCCTGCCTCATAGCTGGCCGGAAGTTCACGCGAGAGGAAGCGCGGCCCGTGGCCGCTGGGCCTGGGCACACGGCTGGGCACACAGCTGGGGGTCCCTTCCTGCCCACTCCCCACCCAGGCCTCAGGGCATTCCCTTCCTTCCACCTCTTCAAATCTCCCTCTCTACCATTGCCAGAATGTTCCCCTCAGCCCAGAGGGTCCCCACGCCCTCCCCCCGCCCCTGCGCTGCGGACACACACGGGCGCCCGTCACACCCAGCGGGCTCCCCGGGCACACAGAAGCCTCTGGCCTTACCTGTCCGCACCCAGGTCCCGCCGGGTCTCCCAGGAGTCCCGCCGGGGTCTCCAGGCCAGGTACCGACACAGAGGGGCCACACCCGGCCCCAGCGCTGCCCCAGGTGCGAGGCCCCTTGGCGGGCTGGTCTGCAAAAGGACAGGGGCCCAAGAGTTAGAGAGACCCTCCAAGGATTGTCACTAGTGGCCCTGTCCCCGCTGTTAGGGCCGAAGGCCCTGCTCGCTGACTCAAGGCCAAGGCCCCAAAGGTGGCCTGATGGTCACCGCCGCCCGTCAGACGAGGAGACCGAGGCACAGAGATGGGAAAGGTCCAAGATGAGCCCTGGATCTGGGTCTGGAAGCCACTCCCTCTGGCAACAAAACTCACACAGGTGACAGAATCTGTGACGCCTCTCTCCTAGGCTTCCTCACGGGCCACACAGGGCCGTAGGCCCCACCTACCCACCCCGGGACAGAGGAGCGGACCCCAGGCCACACGGCCAGGCGGACCCCGGGCCCCTCTCCAGGACGCATGCAGCCTCAGCTCCCCAGAACGGCCGGGAGGGGAAAGCTGCCCTTGTGGTGAGCAGCGCTGATGGGCGTACGTGACCCCTCATCTGCAAACCGCGCTTGGCCTTGGGGGACCGTAAGTGGACCTCAGATGCCCAGGTGGACACAGTGGCCTTGGGGCTCCTGACTACCGTCGCTTTTGCAGAAGGAACCCTGGAAGCTGTGACTGAGACTGTCACCAGAGACATAGGTTCCCATCAGGGACAAGTGAGGGACAAGGGGCTTCTGAGCCCCAGCAGCTCCCAGACCTGCCACCCGAGCCGGGTGTTCCCGGGGGCGGGGGTGGGCACAGAAGGACCCCTGCTCGGTGTGCAGTCTTCCGTGAGGACAACTCCGCCTGAGAGACCCCCGTAGCCCTTTGCGGGCACGCATGTCGGGGCGTTGCCGGCTCCAATCCCCTCTTTACCAGCTGTGTGACCTAAACAAGTGACACCACCTCCTTGAGCCGCGACTTCCTGTCTGCTGAGCAGGGACGACCACCTCGTGCCCCCCAGGACATGGCAAGTGGCCTAGCGATGTCCCCGCAGGCCCCCAGGCCCCCCCCCCCACGCACCGGGGCTCCCACGTACCTGCGGAGGCCCCTGGCTCCGGGGCCCCGCCACGCTGGGGAGAGGCCTGCCGGTCTGGGCTCCTGCAGGCCTCCAGCGCCGCCTCCCAGGGCAGGGACAGCCATTCGTCCTGAACATGGCCCGGGGCATCCTTTAGAAAGACACAAGAACCAAGAACACTGAGCATCCGGGGCCAAAGTGTCCGCTCCAAGTCCGTCCCCATGGGTCCATCCCAACGACCCCTGAAGGGAACCCAGAGGAAACCGAAGCCTGGGGAGCAGAGGGCCCGTGGCCTGGCCGCACAGCGCTGCCGTGGAGGCCTGGTCCTACAGGTCAAATGCTTCATTCGCACAAGGCTCCATTCCGCAGACGGCGAGGAGCTCATCTGTCCCGCCACGGTGCCTCTGGGTTCTGAGTCCCCCCTTCCTGTTCCCGCTGTGTCCCACCCATGGAGGTGACCGCCTGTCCAGGGGCTCTGGGCAGTCCTGTCCCTCAACTGCCCACAAGACCCAAATGCTATGGCAAGTGTCCTTGGGCAGCGCTGCCTCCCCTCGGCCTCTGCCCAAGGCAAGCAGTGCACAGCGAGGCGCGGCCCTGGACGGCGTTATCAAAGACCAAGCTCCACCGTGGCGGCTGCAGGGGCGTGTGGGGCCTGCAGGAAACCTCAGCCCTGCCCCGCAGCCCGCGGGCCCCGGCCGCAGGCCACAGCGAACCAGTCCCAACCTGTGCTGTCCGCTGCTCTGCCCATCTGTCCCCCACTCAGCCCTGAGGTCCTCCCTGCAGAAGGGGAACCTGGCTGCATCTTCTCTGTGCCCTCCCCTTAGCTTAGCACACAGTAGGTGCTTAACATAAATGTGTGATAGCTAGAGGAAAAGACAGAATCTGCAGAAAGGCAAGTGTTTCAGACTCACTTATGCATTTATGGGCAACCATTTACTAATTTCCTACCACGTGTCAGGTGCTGTTCTAGATGAGGGTAATGGAAGTGAACAGGCAATGCCCCGCCCCCCTCCTCACCTGTGCCCAGGTCCTCACCTGCTCCCAGCAGACCCCTGGGCCTCCTGTGCGAGTGGCCAGAGGACCCTCCACCATGCACCAAGGCTGCCCTAGGCTCCCTCAGGCTACAGGCCTGGCTCCGGCACTGAGATCGGGCGCTTGGGGCCACGGTGGCGGCCACGGGCTTCCCCGGCACCCCTCGCCCTCTCCCTGGCCCAGGCTCCCACTCACACTGGCCTCCTCCCCTCCCCCAACCCCCACCCACCTCGCCCGGGCTCCAGCCTGCCTCTGCACCCCTGCGCAGGCTGTCCCTTCCGCCTGGCTGGCACATCCTCCCGGGGAAAGGGTGGTCATTGCCTGCCGCCTGCTCAGTCAAGCCCCCCCCACACACACACATCCCTGGATCTCAGCCCCTCCCTTCCACACACTCGGCCTCCCAGCAGCCCCACCGAACTGGAAACGGGGATCCATCCACACTTCCCACGGCACAGAAGGAGAAACCCACCCCCACCGGGCTTGGCTAAATAACAACAAATAACACCACCAACAAAAAAGATTGCCTGGAGGAGGGGTGTGTGCGAACCTGTCGCCGAGTTACTGTGCTGCCAGCTTTCCCCGCAGAGCAGGGGCCTCCACCCTGGCCGCCCGTTAGAATTGCCCGAAGCTTTGACAGGTGCCGAGCTCAGCCCAGCAAGTACCAGAGCGGCCCGGACTCCGGCGCTGCGTTCAGCCGGCATCTGACCCGCCGCGGCACCCTCCTGCTCGCAGCCCCGGGGGCTGCCCGCCCCTCGTCCCTCCCCACCTGGTTCCCGCTTGATCAGAAATAAACATTTCTGGTGGCAGCTTAAAAGCACCGATGGAACAAGGTGAAGAAGAAGAAGAAATAAAGGGGAGAGAGAGCAAGGGAAAGGAAACAGACAGAGAGCCTAAGGCAGAGAAAGGGAGAGACAGAAACTCAAGGTGAGAAGCACGAGAGAGAAGGGGAAGGAAAGAGAGACGCACAGATGGAAACGGAGAGGCGGGTGGGGCAGTGTCCAATTTTATTCCAACACCCCGGTTGACTTCAGTTCAGTTTAACAAGTGCTTCCTGAGCAACTACCACGTAGCAGGCCCTGCGCGGGGCTGGGGACACAGCCACAGATAAAACGGACACAGACCCCTGCCTCAAAGAGGTGCCGTCAGTGGGGGGCAGGCTAGGAGACAAGGCTCTGCCCCTGTCATTCCCCGAGGGGCGAAATCAATACTCAGAGAGGGGCAGTGACTGGCCCAAGGTCACGGCACACAGAGCCGGGGAGCAGGACCGCAGCTCGGGGCTCTGAGCTTGACCCACTCCTCCTCTCCCGCTCTGCGCACCCTCTGCTTCCTCCTTCCTGCCCGTTGGTACTCACGGGAGCATGTGCCTGGAACTTGCGGGGTTTTAACTTTAATGTGTGACTCTTTTGAAAGACGAGCAAAAGGAAGAAAACGAGGAATTCCGTGATATCCAGACACAAACGTTGTTTGGCGGTTAGACTATATCCTTCTGGGCTTTTTTCTACACAGGGCCATTCAAACTCTTCCAAAAGTCTGTTTCTACAGCGGGTCGGGTTTGGCTCTGCGCTTTGCCCGTTGATGCCTCTAAAGGGCTCGTTCCCCACGGCTCTCCTGGAACGTGGCGGCCTGTGGCTGCCAGAACAAGGGGCACCTGCATTTTACCAAATCAGGTCCCCCGATCAAACGTTCAGGTTGTTCCCAACTTTTACCAGCTGTGACACGTGCTGAGGGACTTTCGATATTTGAGAAATGGACAGAGTAAGAGGCGATCTCAAGCATTTGCTAATTTGTCATTGTAACCAGTGGAACTGGGTCTGACCTTTCTGTGTAAGGCCGCTGGCCATGTCGTCTGGCCGTGCATGTTAGTTGCATGTTTGTTAGTTGCTTTTGCCTATGTTTTGTTTTTCGACATCGTCAACGTGATGTTTTAAAGCCCTCGCTCGCTGCCGGAAGTGAGGGACAAATGTGAAACAGCATTTCTGCCCAAATGCCCGCCGCAGGGGCAAGGAAGGGCTGCCGGTACTCACTAAACAACAAAACGATTCCTGTAACTGCCGCCAGGGGTCGCTCTCTTCACGCTGCCACACGGAGAGGCCCCCAGAGCGCCCTGCATTCCTGATGCTGCTGGCACCCGGGGGAGGGTCTCCGCTCTGAAACAACAGCCTGACACTGACACTTCAAAGATGGTGACTTTTAATCTCCGAGACCCCCCCCACCAGCCCCGGGCCCAGGCCACGGCCCCCCAGGCTGTCCCCTGCTGCAGCAGGCAGAGAATGAGCTGCCATTGTCTGCGCCCGTGTCTGTCTCCCCATAAACTCTGGAGGAGCAGGGTCGCCTCGCAGCCCCGGTGCCCAGCACGGTGCCCAAGACGTGGCAGGTGCCCAGGGCATGCTCGTTGAAAACCAGCTGCCTGTCAGAGGAAAAGCACAGGGGACGGAAGGGAACAAGGGACAGAGGCGGGGGACCCCTTGTGTTTGCACAACCACAGAAGGGTGACACGGGTCCAGAAGTGCTGTCCATGCGCTTGCTCGTTGCCGTGACCACCTTCCTGCCCCTGGGTCTTTCGGGGCGACCACTGCCGCCTCCTGAAGCACCACGGCCTCCCCAGTGGCTCACCCAGCACCTGCCCGCAGGCTCCGCCCCTCCAGAGCTGGGAGGGAAGGAAGCCCAGGAGGCCGGAACAGGGAACGCTACCTGAAGCAGGTGGGGGCAGAGGAGGCGGGCGTACAGCCATCAGCTGCCCCGTGACTGCGTGTTAGAGGCTGAGCTGTGTCTCTTCAAAGTATGTTCAAGTCCTGACGGCCCCCCTCCCCAGTGCCTGTGACTGTGACCTCATGTGGCGGTAGGGTCTTTGCAGATGTCCATCAAGGTGTGGTCTGACCGGGGCGGGCTGGGCCTCGCCCACCTCATCTGCCCCTGCGGGCTGGCCTGGTGGCTGGGCCAGGAGAACCACACCGGGGGGGGGGGGCAGCCCCTCCCAGATGGCCACTGCGGTCCCCTCGGGCCATGTGACGGGGGAGCTGGTGGCCGCTGGCCCCATCCGTCCCAGGCTGTCAGCCTGCGCTTCCACCAGCAGGTCCCGCCGATGAGCAGAGACAAATCGGTCACATTGAACCTTCTCCAGTCAAGGCTTAGCCCTCAGGACAGACAAATGAAAGGACGAGGGTGGGGGAGCGTTGTGTAAGTAGCGCGGGTGAGTCCACCCAGCTTTCCCTCTGGACCACACGAGCCCAGGAAGGGAGGATGGGGAAGAGGGTGATGATGATGATGGTGACAAAGATGGGGACAGACATCACATCTCGTCGCCCGCTCATGATGTGCCAGGCACAGTGCTAGGAGCCTTCCCTGACCCTCTCATTTCATTTCGTCCTCACGGTCAGACAAGCAGGCAGGCTCCAGTGTCACTCCCAGGTCACACTTGGGAGCACAGAGGCACAGGAAGTGCAGTGATGTGCCCAGAGCACCGCCGCTGCTAGGAGGCAGAGCTGCACCGGCACCTGCTTCCGCTGGGGGCCCCGCCCCCAGTGCCCTGCCCCCCACCCCTGCTCTGTGGATGGACAGACAGGGAGAGTGGGGTTAGATGCGTGCCTCACCCCACTGTGCGCTCCATTGTTTAAGGCTCGCATTTCCTGTCCCGCGGCCCCTGTGCAGCAGCCTTCGCTGCCCCTCCGTTCCTCGGCTGAGGAGGGGCCGGCTTCTCCTGGCGCTGGAAGCAGACTGGCTGGGGACCGTATGGGCCATTTAGGGAATTTTCAAGAGAATTTGGACTATGCACGGCGACTCCAGCAAGGCCTTGAGAGCATGTGCCTGGGGCACAGGGACCTTTGAATGATCGTCTGTGAAGCAGAGAGAAGATCATGGATGTGCTGCGACAAGGGGCTTGTGGGCTGATGGCACACAGCCACTGACACTGGCCACTGACGTTGCCCCACGCTCGTCATGAGCCGCCCTGGCCCCAGTGTCTGGAGCCACAGCACTGACCTGGCCCTGCCACTTGGTAGCTGGGTTCCCACGGCCAAGCCACTTAACACCCAGGTCTCAGTCTCTCCCTCTATTCAGCGGGATAACAGCACTTGGCTCACGGGCTGTTCTACAGAGTCATTGGGAATGTAAAATGCCCAACATGTTAGCGGAAGTCTCTTAGATGTTTAGGTATTCACCCTTTCTCTTAGGTAGAAGAATGAGCTGTCACGTACGGGGAGGTGGACTGGAAGAACAACGACTTCAGCCAACAGCCTATATTACAGTCTTACGTTTAGGAAAATTACGGAAAGAATTCTAAATGACAATGTCCGGCTGTACACAATTTATTTTCCAAAACCACAGTAAGGTGCCAAGAGCAAGCGTACACTGTTTTCCTTTTATCCAGTGGAAACGGCAAAGCGAGAGGAGCAGGACAGGCCGGAGAGGGTCAGGAGGAGCGTAAAGTGGCGGCAGACGAACAGACCCCAGGCCAGCTGGCCGCTGGAGCGGTCCAGGCAGGACCCAGTTCCTTGGCCGAGAGATGCAGAACGTTTAAAGTTCCAGGCAACTTGAAGTAGATTGTCAGGGTCCCAAGGTAAACTTAATTTTATTTTAATGAGCAACGGCACTTGAGCTCAGGTTGTGCACTGATTTTCCCTTAAAGGCACCAGCCCCACAGCGAGAAGCGGGACCTGGATCCCTTGGAGGGAGCTGAGCCGTTGCCTTTCAGGGAGGAGCGAACACTGAAGACACAAAGCGCTCTGGGCTTGTACACATTTGTGTCGACTCCCCGTTCCGCCCCTCACAGCTGTGTGACCGCTGGGCCCCTGCCTCCTCACGTGTGCAGTGAGGGCACCGACGGCCCCGCTCACGTCCTTTGTGAGCATTAAATGGCCTCACGCCTTTGAAACACCCCGTGGGGCGCCGAGTGCTGGGCAGGCGCACGATACCGGCACGTTCTCACCGTGCCATCAGGCACATTAATAAATAAACGCCCTCTGCCCTCGCCTCCAGGGCTTCAGGAGCTCGCCCAAGGTCACACAGCTAGTGAACAGGAGACCCGGAAGTTCCCAGCCCCGCGGGGCCCAGGGCCGGCTGTGGGGGCCGAGGCGACACAGCCCCTCAGGCCTGGACCTGCCCTCCAGGGGCTGACAGTCTCACAGAGGAGGAAGGATGATGCACACAGCACACCGTGCAGGGGACCGTCCCCACCTTGGGTGCTGCGAGAGGCTGAAAGGGCATGAGGGCTTTCCCAGGGAGGGGGCGTCGGGGAAGACGTCACGGCATGTGAGGATGACGACACCCCGGAGCCCCCCACCCCGCCAAGGGCCTGCACACAGCCGGCACCCACTAAACGTCAGGCACAGAGGGATGGAGAGCAGAGGACAGACAACGAAGGATAAGGGGTGGCTGGCCGGTGCCTGGGGAGTTGTTGGAAGCAGGTGGTTGGTGGCGTGGGGGTCCACCCTGGGTGGGCGGGTGGGTGGGTTGGTGACTGGATGGAAGGAAGGATGGACAGATGGGGCAAGTGGGGTTGGATGGGTGGAGGAAGAGGGAGACGGGAATGGCGAAGTTGGTGACTTAACCAACTGACTGTATGAAAGAGAAAAATCAGTCACTCCTGCTCTGAGGTGCCGCCACTTACCAGGCTGCAGTGACCAGCAGAGGGCGCGCTGCGCACCGTCTCCCCTGGGGCCTGCGCTCCCAGCTCCTCTCGCAGGCACCTGTTTTGCTCGGTGAGGTCTTCCACCTGGCCCTGCAGGCCGATCTCCGACAGCTTCAGTTCAAAGATGCAGCAACGAAGCTCCTCCAGCTGCCAGCGGAGGCTGCGCTCCGTGGCGCGCTGCTCCCGCTGCCGGCGCGCGGCCTCGTCCGTCTCGCGCTCGCTGCATTCGGCCCTCGCCTGCCGGGCGCACCTCTCCGCCGCCTCCTCGGGGTCGCCTTGGGGGCCCGTGGGCCGGGGGCTTCCCGGGGCGGAAGCGTCCAGCTCCGCCAGCAGGAGACCCGCGGCGCGGCAGAGGCGGCGCACGTCCCGCTCCAGCCGCCGCACCTGCTCGCGCAGGACGCGCTCCTGCTCGCGCGCGAGGCCCAACTGGCGCCGCTGGGTCCGCCGGCAGCGCTCCAGGGCCGCCGTCTGCTGCCCCAGCGCCTCGTCCTTGTACCGCAGCTGCTCCCGCAGCCGCCGCAGGCGCCACCGCTGCCGCCGGGCCGCACGCTCCTTCTCCAGAACCTACAGTTTGGTGGTGGATGCGGGTGTCAGGAAGCAAGCCCAGGGGCGCACCGTGGCTCACACTTTATTTTAAACTTGGGTATTTTGTCCATCATTGAATATTTTTGCATTAAAATGTTGCATCAAAGTATTATTTATCTCGATTATAGAGTTTTTCGGCGCCCCCTTACATTTCGCACAGAAGATGAGCACCTCACGCCCCCTACCAGGGACCCTGCACACCCAGGAGCCCACGAGGCTCTCCAGGGGTCCCATGCCAGTTCCTAAAGAGCTGCCACCCAAACCCCTGAAGGTCCCCACGGCCAGCCAGGACCTCATGGCCCTCTCCATTTCCCAGCACCTAAAGGGTTAATGCTGGCCCAGCAAGGGTCAGCTGGCTCTGCCTGGTGTCACAGTGTCACAGCAGGCGTTCCTTCCTGTGACCATCCCCCCCTCCCTGTGGAGTTATGTATGGCGGCTATCCCCCTGCGACTCTCAGAAATGACCTGCGTGCAAGCACATGGCTAAAGGGCTAAAGATCACTGCAGCCAGGACTCAACCTCCACGCACCTGATTCAAGGCCTGGTCTCCAGCCGGGAGTACCCGTCGCCCTGTTCCGACACCGCGCCCTCCCCCGCCTGTGAGCTGTGGGCTGGCCTGGGCTGACGCGCCCACTGTGGAAACGGGAGTCCTCGCCCAGGCGAAGCACATGGCGGGCCGCCTCCCTGTGGGGCTTGCGTTCAGCGGGGTTGCCCGGCGCTGCTCCGGCCAGAGGGCTTGCAGAGGCCGAACTCAACAAGCAAAGGGCAAACATCGCAATGGGCACCGCCAAGCCGAGCAGCTCTGCAGGCTTTGTCTGACAGCTCGTCCGAGGCAGGCAGGGGGCAGACAGACCTGGAGACAAGGCCCCCGCGAGGAAACTCCGGGTTTGCCCATGGCATGAATCCTGCCATTGGAGGGGGGCCGTGCACGGTGCTCCGTCTCTGCGCCTAGTCTGCCTTTATCGGCCAGAATGACCACGGGTCGCGGTGGAGATGAGGCGTCTACAGTGCCCGCACATGCTCACTAGGAATACTGACCACGGGGCAAGGCCACCCTCGATTCGGCCAATATCAGGCACGAAGGGCGGAGCAGGTCGCTGCCGGCGCTCCCAAAGGGCCCGCTCTGAAACGCGCGCGTCTCTGGAGAGGGATTTAGGGTCAGAGGTTCGGGCGGGGCTGCGGTGGGGCCAAGGGGTCCCTGAGGGACCCCGCACCAGCCCCGCCATCACTCCGAACTCCCAGGCCTCACCGGGAACGGGGTTACCTGACAGGGCTTCCCAGGAGCACGCAGGCGTTCCGGGGCCAGAACAAAGAGCTGCGGGGAGAGAGGCCTCCGCATCTGCAGGGCCGCGGTCCCCGGGCACCGCGGAGCCCCACTCCATCTCCCCGGTTGCCACCCCGGCCCTCTGTCTCCCCACCGCACCTCACAGTCACAGGACCGCGTCTGATTCACCAGAAATCTCCTATGTACATGGCACGTGGCTCAAAAAAGTGGACTAACGTGCTTGCCCCAGAGACTCCCAATGGGGGAATCACCTACCCCACTGTAGCTCGTATTAAAAACTGCTTTGGGGACACGGATGGTGACGTGCTATACACCGAGGTGGGGAATGCCTGCGATTTTCTGCACCCGAAGTTCAATATCGGGGGAAAGACCACCTGTGCGCCTGCCCCCGGCGTGTCCGATTCGTTTCAACTTGACGGAACGCCCTTCCTTGCCACGCGGCACTTGTGTGTCAGGTCATGGCTAAAGCAGTGCTTCTGGAGCTTTTGGACGATTCCCACTGCGAGGAACCCACCCCCACAACGCGCCCCGTCACACACGCACCCGCATGCGGGGTCAAGGAACCAACACGCGAGGCGTTTCCCAGTCGATTCTATGTGTGAAAGGCGGGCTGTGACTCCCCGCGGATCCCGCAGCCCGCGGACGGCTGCCCACCTGCACTGACGCCATCGATGCGCTGCCCTGCAGGTGGGAACCCACCGAAGCAGGCGGCCCTGGGCGCTCCGTGCACCGCCCGCAGCTGCCCTCCCAGGCGAGCCGTTCCTGCCCACAGCATTTCCTCACCGCTCCCCCCACACCCTCCCGCCTGCATCGTCTCTCCCTGGCATATTTCAATACCGATCATGCAAGCGGCCAGGGCTGTTTCCATGCCCACGGTTGGGAGGGCGCTGCACGTGCTAACTCGCTGCATGCACGTGACCATTTCACAGCGTCGATACTGTAGCATGCCCATTTCACGGATGAGGAGACTGAGGCCCGGGATGGTCACGCCGCTGGCCCTGGCCACACGGCTGGTGAGCGGTCGAGCTCGGGTTGGGCTCCAGGCAGCTACGTCCAGAGCCCCGCCCCTTTCTCAGACAGCGTGACCTTGTCCCCATCTCCGCCATCTCTCTCTCCCGTGCAACTAGAATGACACCACCGAACCCAGCCCCGGAGCCTCTCCTGCTAACGTCCCCGGAAACCCGCTCCCTGCTGCCTTCAGAATTTGATCCGTGCAGCAGCCCTGGCAGACTGGCCCCTCTGGAAGCCTCCAGCCTCCCGGACCGCCTCTCCCCACCCCGCCCTCTGCCGGGTCCGGGGCTGTTTTCCAAGCTGCGGGGCCTTTGCCCAGGTGGCTGGCCACCCATGCGCCACATGCCCTTTATGCCAGGCCCCACTCCCACGCCCAGGTCTCCGCTGCTCCCCCAGCCCAGGCACACACACACCGTGCCCGCGCCCCTCCTGGCGCCAGCGTCCGAAACGGAGTGCCTTGCTTCCCGCCTGTGTCCCCCCTGCCCTCCAGCTCCTGAGGCAGTGACCCTGCATCAGTCACCTCCCTGTCCTCAGGCCAGCGCTGGCTCCCCTGATATCTGGCACCCAGGCCGCAGAAATGACCTCTGCCCACAGCTCCCAGTGAGCCCACAGTCCCCGCAGGTCACCGGGATCTGTCCCACCCCACCATGCGTCCCCGCGGGAGCCCTGTGAGGCAGGCGGGCCGGAGGGGCATCCCACTGTACAGACGGGGCGGCTGAGGACCAGAGAGGCCACGTGACCGTGCCCCCGGTCCTGCAGGATGCCCCCCGCCACCCCCCGCCACACACACTGCATTTCCTCAACTGCAGCTGCTGCTGCATCCAAACCCAGGGGTGTCCCCACTGGGGTCAGACACTGGCCCTGGACGGAGGGCAGAACCGCACCTGGCTGGCGAGCTCCCCCTGCAGCACCTCCAGCTGCTCCTGGGCCCGAAGGCAGGCGCTCCTCTCCCGGCACACGCGGGCGCGCAGCTGGTCCACCTTCCGCAGCAGCCTCCGCTCCGACAGCTCCAGCTCCTGGATTCTGCAGTGGGAGGCAGGCGGCGCTTAGTGGGGCCGCAGCACACAGGGCCACGGTTTCACACACATCAGGCATGCTTTTGTTGTTGTTGTTGTTGTTTGGCTCATTTAATATTCTGACAAAACTGCATTTTGTGAAATAGTCACACACATCTTTCTAAGGACGATCTGTAACACTTCAAAGACCTCTTTTGAATAAGAAGGCAGCGTGCATGGGAAATTCTTAACGGCATCCTTATCTCTAAGCCAGTAACCCGGAGTCTGGGTGATACAACCAGGGACTGGGCCTGAGGCAAACATCGGCATTGTCTCAGTGAATCTACAGGTTACCCCCAGGAGGAAACTGAAGATCAGAGAGGCCAGGCAACTTGCCTGAGGTCACACAGCATCACAGAGCCCAGGTTGTCCGATTCCCGATTCCCGAACTCACCCTCTTAACAACCCTGTGCTCCGTCGCCTCCCATCTGAGCTGCATTCCTGTGACTCTCTTCTAAGGAAGTGATTGAAATTCAGAAAAGAAGGTTCTGCAGTTAAACTAATCTGTATCACTTGCAAAAGTAAGAAGCTGGACATGATCTCATGTCTAATGGGATGGCAAAGCCGCATGAAGGTGTTTCTATGACCCCAGGGAAGGGCTGAGGCTGACCCCCGCCAGCTGGGACACAGCCTCGGCACGGCTGCACAGGAAGAGGGCGCGCGGATGTGGGGAGCTGAAGCGGAAGCCTGGCTACCATCCCCCTGGGAGAGGAGAACCTCCAGCACTTGCCAGTTATGGAGAACCCAAGTCTCCTTAATGTGCCCCTGTCCCCTCCAGAACAAAAACCAGGAAACACAGGGAAAGTGCGCTCACGACCTACGTGGACAAGCTCCGCCCCCCGTGACGCCTTACCCCAGGTGTACGCGGCGTCACCTGCTCACCCAGGACAGACCCAGCTTCCCTGGGGGAGGACCTGGTACGCCTGCTGGCTCTGCCCTGTACCAGCCATGAAGCCAAAACCGGGCTCACTCACCACTAGGACCCTCAGTATCCTTATCTGTGAAAAATAGAGGCGATTACACCTTGCTCAGAAGGCTGTTGTGAAGATTAAACAAAACAATGCATTACTTTTAACAGGGAGGCCAAGGGCTCCCTCCCCGACTCCAGCCCCGAGGCCCAGGGGAGGGCCTTGAAAGTGGCAGAAGGGGGTGTGGATTATAACTGAGTCCCTCTCAACCTGAACGACAGGAGCGGCCCCCAGATCAGCCGGTCACAGAGTCAGGCGGAGTGCCTCTGACTGGTTATAAAAACGGGTGATATCAAAATGGGACAAGAAAAGCCTCTCTTTCGTTTCTGAGACCAACCTGGAACACTGACTATGAGACAGGGTTTAATCCTAGTACTTACACTTAAGCCATCCCTACACTTAGGCAGAAACCAGCTGGCCGTGCCATGGCAGGCAGAGGGATGGCCCGCCCCCCAGTACCCACGTGCGCTACCTTCAATGCACAAGAGCCCATAGGTGCAACTGGGCACGACCCTGGACTACCTGGGTGGGCCCGAATATGCAGCCACAGCCGTCACCCAAAAGGGAGGCGGGCGGATATGACACAGAAGGTGAAGGCCACACAAGATGCGAGGCTGCTGGCACTGCAGACCGAGGCCCGAGCAGGGGCCGCCGCTGGAGACACGGAGAGGCCGGGACGCGTCCCCCCGCGGCGCCGGGAGAGTGGGGCCGCCCACACCTGCCTCCAGCCACAGAGGCGGCTTCCGGTTCTGCCTGGCGTTTGAGCCGCCAGGTTGGCGGTCATTTGCTGTATCAGCCACAGGAAACTAACACGTTCACAAACACAAAATAGACACTGAAGCGTCATCCGCTCTTCGGTGATGAATGACAGGTATGAAATATGAATGGGCAGGGCCGCCGAGAGCGCCCTGGGGCGGGGAGGCGCCCCCTCACCCCCGGGAGCGGGGAAATCCGTCCTCTCGGGGCTGCCCGGGTTTAAGTCCCAGCTCCCCTGTGGCTGAGTGTGCATCCCGCCTTCAGCGAGCAGGGGACACAGCCCGCATGTCCCCACAGGCGTGTCCAGGGTGCCCTCCCTGGGGTGGCCTCACCCCAGGCCCCAGCCACAGAGGCTGCTCCTCTGCCCCCCTCACACGGAGGGGTCTCCTCTGGCCGGAGCCTCCCATCCACCTGCCCCCGGCCCGTGGGCCTTCGGTTCTCACTGCCAGTCTCTCTGGAGGAAGATCTGACTGCTCAGCCCCGTGCGGGCCCCTCTGCTCCTCTCCCCAGGGCTGGGCCCTGCTTCCCCCAGCACTGCACCCCCAGGGCTCATTTTAGGGGATGAACGCATCCCCCAAATTTGTACGTTGAAGTCCTAACCCCAGGGCCTCAGACTATGGCTATATTTGGAGATGGGATCTTTACAAAGGTAATTAAGGTGAAACGTGGTCATTTGGGTGGGCCCTAATCTCAACTGCCTGGTGTCCTTATAAGGAGACTGGGGCACAGACACACACAGAGGGACGACCACGTGAGGACGCAGGGAGAAGACGGCCATCAGCCCGCCAAGGAGAGAGGCCGCAGAAGGCGCTAGCCCTGCCCACAGCTCGATCTTGAACTTCCAGCCTCCTGAACTGGGAGGAAATAACTCTCTGCTGATTAGGCGGCTCCATCTGCAAAACTGGGTTATGATAATCACAGGAAACGAATACGACTTAACACATGTCTCTTGGGGAGAGAGAGCAGATGGTAGAGTGGGTTGGGGGGGCGGATGGATGGACAAAAGGAAGGATGGATGGACAAATAGATGAACAATCACACAGCGTGGCACAAAGAGTAACAAAATAATTTTTCTGGTATGTGCATATCTTCCTGTGGAAAGTATTACAAAGAGGAAAAAAAGGACACGGGAATATACATTGAATGACCTGCCTTCATTAAAACAAAGGGAAACACAAGGAAATGACAAAGTGCCAGACACACCAAGACCCTGGCCAGTGGGTTGCTGGGAGCCCTGCCGGAATCGAGCCCGGCCGTAACCCCGCTGCGCTTCCAGGCTGGGCTCTCCTGCTGCCGCAGAGCCCCGCTGCGCTCCGCCGGCCCTGGACCAGCAAATGCCTGGAGAGGGCACGGGCTTTGGAGAGAGGCCCGGGGTCAAACGCCCAACCTCTGGGCCGCGTTGGTCCCACCGAGCAAACAGCCTGCGCCGGGAATTCAGATTCGGCAGCAAGAAGCAAGCACCGAGAGTCTGCCGCAAAGACGATGGTGAGCTGAAGGCCGGGCAAGGGTGACAGGCAGCCGGAGACCAGACACTGCCGAGAGCCACTCGATCCCTCGGGCCAGAGGGACACATGGAGGCCAGGTCACCAGCAGGAGCCCAGGTGGCGGCCAGCGAGCCCGGGAGGCCTGCCCGCAGGCTCAGCCCCGGAACGCAAAGGGAAGGACCGAGAGCCCAGGATGCGGCGGGCAGGCCATGTGACAAGGGGAGCCCGCATCCTCGGCCAGGGACATGCATCAATACCCGCTTCTAACACGGTCCTGACACCCCAAGGTTCACAAAAGCAGCACGCTCACCTGCTCCTGAGCCCAGACTCCGAGCTCACGTATTTGTCCACAGCTGCCAACAGCTTCTGCTCGGAGGACTCCAGCTGTTTCCTGAGCACCCCTGTATCCACGTCCACGCTTCTCCCAGCAGCTGCTTCCGGAAGATGGCCCTGCTCCTCATCACTGTCTTCTGCGTCCTGGAAGATCCAGGACGTATCGATCTTCACATCCACATTCATGACATCAAACCCGTCGCTGCTGGGGGCTCTGATGATGTAGCTGAAAGTTTTCTCAGAATGTCCCGCAGCTGCTGGCTCCATCCCGACATAGTCCACGGGGCGAGACGGGATGCAACGGAGCAAACTTGCAGCCTCAGCTCTCGGGAGCTTTCGCAGTGGGTGCAGTGCCTTCAGATTGTGCAGGAAAATGTCCCTGGGGGAGGGCAAGAACAGGTGGATTATTTATGAGCGGGGGACTCGGGTTTCATGGGCACAAGCGTCATGCAATGTGAATGAGGGCCTCTCGGGTTGCGGGTCAGCGTGCCAGCACTCACCCCGAGCGAGACAATGTCGCCAAGACAGCGCTTGGCACTAAAGGCTTAATAATGCACCCAGGGAGGTCAAAGGAGTCCCGGGCAGGCCCCTCAGCGTGCCCCGGGGTCTCAGCAGCGAAGCACATGTTGACACCGTGAGGAACGACGTCTTTGCCAGCTCCTTCCGTGCAGCGCACGCTTACCAAGGACCTACCCTTTGCTAGGCGGCCCCCAGCCCCACCCCACTGCCCGTAACCTTCCCCTGGGAAGCGGTTGCAGCCCACCCACTGCACAGATGATGGAGCTGAGGCTCCGGCCCCTAGTCGGGAAGGGGCGGAGTCAGGATGCAAATCTGAGTCTGACTCCAAAGCCTGAGAGGACGCCCTGGGGATCTTCTGGAGCAGGAAGGGTGATTGACAGCGACTGCGGAGAGGGAGCCTGAGCAGGAAGCAGGTGTCTGGCTTTGTCAGAGGAGCAGCCTGAGGGAAGGCTCACGCTCCCCTCCCCCCGTCCCCCAGGACAGGTGAGAGGCGGAAGCCCCAGAGTCTCAGCCCTGGAAGCGTCTTCAGGCTCTTCCTGGGGATGAGGCTCTGGAAGGAGCCCTCTGGCTACGAGGGAGACGGGAAGAGCTGAGGCCTGCCCTGGATTGTCGGCCGCCCCCCCGCCCGGGCTTCTTGGGGGTGGGGATCCGGTGGGAAGGGGGAACATTGCCCAGGAGAGGCATTAAGGAGGGGCCCTGCACCAAGGGAGGCTGAGGGTGGTCCCAAGACGACAGTCGCCAAGGGCAGAGCACCTGGAGTCCCCGGAGAGATGGTGGGGGTAGGGGGGACGGGCTGCGGCTGCGCCCTGCCACAGAGCAGGCGTGGGGGCGCATAGTTTGGGGTCTGCACAATCCCCCAAGAGGTCTTGGCAGCCTCCAGGGCGAGAACCCCCGTGGGTGGTTAGGGTCTCATCCTCTTTGGCAGGCCTCTAGCAGGCCCTGGTTTCGTGTGAGACAATAAACAAAGACCAGTGATTCCTGCAGGCCACGCACTGGTTGGGGGGGGCATGAGCGGGAGCCCCAGGCCCTGGGACCCTCAGCCTGCAGACAGTGGATGGTGGAGGACTGGGAACTCACTTTGGAAGGAGCTGGCTCGCGCTGAGGCGCAGCGGCCGACTCTCCTGGCAACCAAGGCCCCCGCGGCGGTGGGACACTTGACCCTGGCCTTCCCCGCCCAGCTCCTCATGCCACGCTGGCCAGGAGCGAGGGCGCAGAAGGCACCCCACGCATGGGAGCCGCGCCCGGGCCGGAACCCACAGGGCCTGCCTCTCGTCCTCCCAGGACCTCTGGAGGGAGGACGGGGTAGGGACGGGCAGACCCAGCCCTTCTCGTTTCTGCGTGAAAAAGGGGCCTTCGCTTCAGTTGACCCAGTAGCCCCGCTCCCCTGGAAACCGCACCCGCGTGACCCATTGGCTGCGTTATTAGGCAACCGCCACCACCGCAGCTGCAAGCGGTGCATCTCACCTGGGCACAGAGGGCTGTGGTTGCCGGCTCCGTGCTCCCCCGAGAAGACTGGCTCTTGGGGCTGGGCCTGTCCCTGGCAGGGGACCTTGGAAGCGATGTCTGGGACTGTCACGAGAAATGCTGGCTCCTGCCGGGCCCTTGGGTCTTCTGAGCCCGGGCAGCTCCCGTACCTGCCTGTGTGAGCCCCGTTCCCTCACAGCAGAGCTGTTTCAGGGATTGGCTCCTGCTCCCCACGGGCCGTGTGGTCTCCTTCGAGGACACCTCCCGCCAGGGAGCGGCCGGCGCACCTGCTGCATCTCCTGCCAGGGCACAGGAGGCCTGTGGGTCTGCCTGGTTGAGCCCAAAGAAGCCCTCTTGTGAGGCACTGCATGGGCACCGTCAGCCCTCCCCACAGCTGAAGACTTAGAGTGGCCAGCGCTCGGCCGTGTCCACTGCAGGGAGGCGCCGGGGCTGGGAGTGGACCCGGGGGGGTCTGACTTCAAAGGCCATGCCATTGCAGCCCCCTTGTGTGAGCGGGAGGGTGAGCAGACAGGAGGATGGACACCGGACGGCGTGAGGGCCACCCTCCTGCCCCCCGGCAGTGGGGGAGGGTGGGCTCTGGGGCCGCAGGACCGCCTCCCAGACGCCCAAGCAGGTCCGGCTGCCTGCCCGTGGGTCGGCCAAGCGCTGTCTCGCCGCACAGACATGCTTTCGTGGTCTTGCCTCGCTGCGTGGCTCCCCCTTCCATCCCCACCTGTAGGGCTAGGATGCCTGTTTTCTTCAAGCAAAGACATCAGTTCGTTCACATTTGGTCACTAAACGTTGGAAAGTCCTGGGGGCTGGTGTAGCGGGTGCTTTGGGTTTAGATTTCAGAAAAGAAGGGCCATTTCTCAGCTGTCCTGATGCGTCTGCCCCAGGCCCGCAGGCCTCGGACTTGATTTGCACGTCCCTCCCTGTCTGACCGCGATGCCCTTTCTGCGCCGATCACTGCTCGACACGTCCTCCCTGCCCGTGGATCCACCCTTCCGAGAACACTCAGCCCTTCTGTTGGGCTCCCTCGCCCACCGATTCCTTCCATGGCCTGACCAGTCCTCTCCGTTTTCTCCAAAGGTCCTTCTCAGCAGGCCTGCTCTCACAGGCCACCAGACACAGAGCAGGGACTTGGCGTCCTTGGGATCCACCCCTCCCTGCATTCAGCCTCTTCTTTCAACACAGACGCTGGTGCTCTTCCCTTCGCGCTCACTGCTGGCTAGATCACATCATCTGTGCTGATTCCGGAAGTCTTCCTTCCCGAAGTTTGGGAGGCGGCAGACACATGTGAGCGGGTACCTTCCTCTAGAAATGCTCCCCCACCCGCCCGCCCGCCCACCCTAGAACAACAGCCACAACATCCGAAAGTGACTTCTCCAGGATCCCCCCCAGACTCGGCGCTGACCAGACGCCGCCCTGTCCTCCCTGGGAGACTTGATTCCGGGGCTGGTCTCCTGCGGCGGGGAGGGCGGCCATCTTGGCCGAGGCTGTCAGAGAGGGACCTGGTCTCAGACCATGGACCCTCCAGGGTCACTCCACATCCCAGCGTCTCTTCCTCGGTGGCCTCTTGCTAATAAATGATAATCAAGATGCAAGGCAGTGCCGGTGCGGTCCGGGGGCACCGTGTGTGCCTCTCAGTCCTCACTCCACATGGCCCCAAGCGCAGCCACGCTCTGGGGCTTTCTCCACATCACACCGTGACCGCGATGGAACCTGCGGCTCCCGCCTTGGACAGCTGGGTTCCCTGGGGCCCGGCCTCCGCTGCGGGCGAGGCTCCAGGTGCACTGCCCCGCTCTGGCCGTCAGCGGCTCAATCCGGCCACACACGGGCCTGGAGGGTTTGAGGACTGGGGCTGGACTTTGGGTCAGGCCACAGGGGCACTTGCAAGTGGCTCTGGCTGGCAGGCTCTGGATGACAGGGCACAGTTCACGGAGACATATGTACACAGTCTGTGTCCCACTGGGCACACGCCCCGCGGCCAGGGAAGGTGCTCGGTGCAGGGACGCGGGCCCATCCCCAGACAGTGCGGACGCTGTCCCGTTGCTCAGTTTCTGCTAATTGCACTTAGTTTCCTGGTATTCAGGTCTCTGCCCCTCGGGCTCAGGAAGGTGCCGGGGTGGGGACTCAGGTGCGGCCCCAAGCTTGTCAAATCCCCCTCGTCCCTGCAGAGGTCCTGCGGCTCGGCCGGGCCAGGACCCAGCCATCGATCCAAAAGGCCTCCCCTTCACGCTGCCGCCAAGTGCGCGTGAGTTCTGGTTTCAGGCTCTGGGCTTGGAGTGGCTTGTTTTGCTGTCGAGTTTTGGTTTGAGTGGGGTTGGGGCGGCCAGAGGGACTCAGTTTATTCCATACGCTCTTTTTCCATCCTGTGGAATGAAACAATAATTTAATGTGACACGAAGCCAAAGGTTAAATTGCGGGGAGAAGCCACGGGCTTCTGTGGCCCCGCCTGCCCCAAGCGCTGTGCCGAGCTGGCCCACCCGCTGCGCCCTCGGACAGCGCAAGGCTGGAGCCTGTCCTGCGCCCACCCTGCCCCCCGCCACGGCTGCCCCACCCCCAGCCCGGTGAGACCTGGGGCCATTGCTAGCGCACTGCCCACACCCTGGACCACCGTCGACCTTGGTTCAAGCGCCAACCTAGGCAGGGGGGCCCAGAGCTACCAGGCAGAGCCCTCGAGGGCAGGGGCGAGCTCCGGGCGCCCACAAGGACGCCAGGTGGGGACACAGCATCAGAGCTCAGCCCGGGGCTCCAGGCAGCTCGTGGACATTTCCGGCATCTCCGGAGCTCACGCGGCTCCCATTCCAGGCTGGATTCAGGGGCTGGGCTCTGGGCTCTGGGGTCGCTGGCAGCCGCCAGCCCCAAGGTGGGGGCTCAGAAAGGGGAGAATGGGGACAGGTCTGACGACAAAGGCGAGCCCAGGGGTCAGAGCAGACCAGCTGCCTGACGGCGCCACTTGGGGTCTGTGGGCCTGGCAAGGGCATCAAAGCCAGGCTGAGGATCAGGGCGGAGCGGGGGCGGGGCCGGGGGCTCTTTACGCAGGCCTCCTGGGCATCGGTGTGCAGGTCGCGACGGGCCCCTCAGCCTCCTGCTCCCGCAGACCCCTGACCCCCGCCGGGAGCCCACTCTAGGCCACGCCAGGAGCTAAGGCCCACGCGGACAGAACCTTTCGGGGAAACCACAGCCCCCCTCTTCAAGATGAAATGCAATGGGGGGGCAACAGGGGGCGTTGTTGGTTCTTCTTCACAATGCGCTCTCCTGCCCCGCCCCCGGGCCTGGAACCCGCCAGGGACCC